TTATTTTTATTATTTTCCCCTTTTCCCTTTGATTTATCTAATATTTATTTATTATTCGTTATCTAACATTCTTTTTACTCTTTTTTTAGAAGAATTTTAATCAATCAAAGGTAATTATTCGAATCGAATTTTTTAAATTTCAATTTAAATTCTTAATTTTTGTTACTAAGACAACCGACAAATTAATTGGTACCGAAAGGGCGGTTCAAGGGTGCTAATCCTTCCTTGACCGTAACCGACTCCCGAACCCGACACGTTTCTAGTGCAGTGCAGATCAGGTAATAAGGTATCCGATCTACCCATTTATTTTAAAATAAAAGATCGGTGGCGACTTCCAATCCATTTTCCTAAGTCGAAGCCCAATTTTTGGCCCAACCGAAAGACGGTTCTGACACATTCAATTGAAAATTATTATTATATATATAAAGATATCTATTAGAAGGAGCTCCATCATTATTCTGAAGGTGAAGATAGAACCCTCCATCATTGGTTAAGTGATATATTTTCTGTTAAACAATATGTGTGTATATCAATTAGAATGAGCTCAATGATTAATCTGAATGTGAAGATTGAACCCTCCATCATTGGTTAAGTGATAAATTTTCTTTTAAATAATGTGTGCGCGTGTGTGTGTGCATGTGTGTGTGAGTGCGTATGGGTGTGTGTGGGTGTGTGTGCATGTGGGTGCGCGTGTAATACCCCAAATTTTAACTAGCGACCAAAATGTAATTTTTGAAAGTTTAGTGGCCAAAGTATAAACTTTGGAAAAGTTTAGGGACCAATGTCTAATTTTGAAAAGTTATGTAATTTGGCCCAGTAAATGAATATTTTACTTCCAAGAGTGACATATCTATGGGAATCATATTTTCCGTACGAATTTTATATTAAAAGCTATAAAACGTTAAAGTTTGGGAAAAAATCGGATAATCGGATCGAATCGATTTTTCAGGAAATTTTAAAAGATGTTGCAACAAGATTAAAAAAGTCATTTACATGACTTAAATTTGTTGGATTTAATATAAATCATTGGATTTAGGATAGATTTCTATAATCAATTTGAACCGTTAGATGAAAAATGGTTAGATTGTAATTTTAGAAAATTCGAATGGAAAATTTGGTAACTACTAACTAGGGATGGCAACAGGCCGAGTTCGGGTCGGGTATTGGTCCCCCCATCCCCGTTTAAAAAACTTATATCCGTCCCCGCTTAAAAAATCGCAGGAATTTAAACGGGGATCCCCATCGGGTAATCGGGGAAAACCGCAGGGAAACGGGTATCTCCGTTTAGCATAAACAATTATTTAAACGAGTATCGGGCCAGGTATCGAGCTGGGTATATATATATATATATTTAAATTAAATATATAAATATTATATATATTTTTAATTTAATTTAATTTTATTAATATTATATATATATATATATATATATATATATATATATATATATATATATATATATATAATTATTTTTAATATTTATTGGGACGGGTAATCGGGGCGGGGATTACCAAACCCGCCCCCGCCCCTGTCCCCGTTTAGCATAAACAATTTTCCCCGTCCCCATCCCCGTTTAACATAAAAGGTTTTTCCCCGTCCCCATTTAATTCAGTTTTTCCCACCGGGTTCGGATTTTTTTGCCATCCCTACTACTAACTCATTGGTTTATTTTGACCATGGGATGAATAAATTGACATGTGGCAAGTTATGGAGTTTTGAATTTCAAGGGTAAAACGGTCATTTTGTAATAAATGAATTTTTAATTAATTATATCATTAAAAGATGACAAGTGGGATTAGATTTTTATTTTGGAAAAATCAAGAATTTGCTTCATCTTTCTCCATTGTGGCCTTGAGTTTCTTAGGTAAGAGAATAAACTTTCTTTTGATTTTTCAAGTTAATTTCTTAGGAATTTGGATGAAAACATGGAATACAAAGTTGTTCTTCATGAAATTCTCTATCATTTGGTACCATTATTTCATGTTTTGCATGCTTGGAACATTGAATTCCTGAATTGATGGATGAAGGGGATGCTAGGTTTTGAGGAACTAAGCCTTGATTATGGTGTAGTTGATGTTGGAGAATCATTTCCATGCTTGTATGATGATTGGAATTACTTGGAAATTGAAGTACTAATAGTCGACCATTAGGGTTTATTTAAAAATAAATTGTTTGAATTGAAATTGTTAAGGACTTGATTGTAGATGAATGGAAATGATGTTTAGAAGTTGAATTCATGTTTGAATCAAGTTGGAAAGTTGGTCATAGGTGACCCTTCATATTCGACCATAAGGGAAGTAAGTGGGAAAAATTTTAGAAAAATTATGATGAGGTTAGACATGATGAATGTATGATTTAGCAAGCTTTAGAAAGTTGTTTGGATCAACTTGGAAGCTTATGATGGTTTAAGAACCAAATTGTAAGAAAAGAAGAAGTAAGGGTTTGAAATGGAAATTAGCATGAAGTTGAAGTGTAATATTTAAATGTGTGATTAGAATGTTGGAATTTAATTGTTGGATGCTTGGAATTAAAGATTTGTGTAGCAAGGAACAATTTTGAAATAAATTGGAAATTTTGAGATGAATTCTTAAATAATTCATTTTAATAGTTTAATGCTGGAATGTTTGAGATTGATTTGAATAAGTAAAAAAGGATGAAGGACCAAGAATGCAAGTTGTAAGAATGGATGGAGAAATTAAGGATGTAAAATAAAGAAAATTGTTTAGAATTTTGAATCTGGTGGTGAGTTTGAAAAATCAACAGAAATTCTATAAATTCTATAAAAATGATTAGGAGGTAATTGTTATACCGTTGTATTCGTATATCAATATTGTTTTGTTTAAAATAAACGAGGATTGATTTCGAATTATATAATGAAAGATATGAATTTTTATCGATAATAGATAAAAAAACAGGGTGGTAGATTCTACTCAAAACAAATTTTGGAAATTGGATTAGAAAAATCACTATAAACTGTACAAGTTGAATTAGAAGAAGTACTTTATATGGTTAGATTCGTATTTGAGTCTAGTTTCCAACGGAAAAAACGTAATTTAATTCCAGTGGCTATATCAATGCAGAATAATGATTCTTTGAAAGTAGTGCAGGTTGTCAGAACATGTAAATTTTAGAAGTGAATAAGTATCAATAGAATTTATGAATTTCATTATTAATTTGTGCCTATGTTAGTAGAATACTAATTTACATTTTGAAATTTGAATGTGATGGATAAATAATACATGTGTAGATCATGAAAAAAAGCAAGTTCAAAGCAATTCAAAATCAAAGGAAAAAGTTCAAGAGTAAGGGGATATCGGTAGTAGGATTTCTAGTGAGGCATATTCAAGTGAGTGCATTTTACTTATTCTTTCAAAGTATGGAATCAGAAAGACTTGCGATGAATCAACCTCGAAGGATTTGGAAAGAAATAATTTTCAAATCGTTTTATTATATATTTTTACATTATTTTGCTAAATGATTTCTTTGAATGATTTTGGGTATGAACTGCCCAATGCAATTTTATATGATATTTTGATATATTCGTGTTTATGAAACTTTGACATGTGAATGATATATGGATTTAAATATAAGGCTCATTGTATGTGTATTGAGAGTTAGTGATACAATTGGCATGCCAAGGGTTTGAGTGATCTTTGATCGATCTTACATGGTACATTTATGTACATTCTACGCGGCACTTTCGAGTGCAACTCTACGCGACACTTTCAAGTGAAATTATATGTTGCACTTTATGCGCAATTTTACGTGGCACTATTTGTACATTGAGGAAACTCGTGATGATTGATAATTATGATATTCCTGATTTTTACAGTGTTGTTGTGTTCTACAGTACATGTATATTCTACATGGTACTTTATGTGCATATTATCTACGCGGCAGTTTCGACTGCATATTTGCGCACACTCATACATGACTCACGTATCATGCATTTTCATTCACCATACAATAGGCTATGAATTGAAATAAAACTGAAATGTACATGTTTGATACATTTTATTAAAAGTAAAGTTTTATACGATGATTTTATGTTATGTTATATGTTTGGTATTTTTCATGTATATGTTTTTAATTATTATTCTTATTTTATTATTATTAGTACTATAATGCCCCCTAAATAATGTCTCACTAAATATATACTTAGCGTGTGATGATTTTCACGCGTAGGCGGTAGAAAGCGTAAATAGTAAAGAGTCAGGTTTATCATCAACTTTTTGAGGAATCAAATCTGCTCCATATTCAGTATGACATCTTTTGAATATTGATAAACTAGTTGGCATGTATATCATATGGTTATGATAGTTAGAACTCGAAATGTTTTAACTTAATATGAAATAGATGATACTGCTTAATATTATTTATGAGTGTTAGTTTATTGTTTAGTATTCAATGATTCTTGATATAATTAAATTGTTTTAGAAAGAAACAAATTTTTAATGATTTTCGGTAAATGACTGTTTTATAAATACTACTTGACATCTGTGACTCGTATACGGTGATAAATACGGGAAATGGGTGTTACATTTATTAATATCATAGATGCAGGTTTACCCGATTCTCGACCTAAATCGATAATGTTTTAAGTGTAAATGTGTATACATGTTACTAAGATGTCAATATTACATATATGAATTGTGATTTGATTGATGCTACTCCTTATTTACTAATATATATGAAATATGTGTTTGTATATATTTCTTAGGCTGAGGGATCTTGTAGAGTGACTGCGATTATATCAATTGATAATTGAAAATAACTACTCCATATAAAAATAAAAGAAATATTATCGCTTATATATATATATATATATATATATTTAAGGTACAAATTATGGATTTAACTGATAGTATATTATTTGTATAAGTAAAAATAGTTAATAAGTTTTTAATCATTTTGGATGCAGTTATTACGTATAATCTCACAAACAGCGACATGATGGAATCAGCTCCACTCCATTAAACAGCCACTTTACAGTTTACGCACTTAAAAAAACAGAAATAAGATAAACCCGAATTCTCCTTTTTACTCTGCCCAAACCCTAGATCCAATCTCCGATGGCCACTTCAAAGAATTCGGGCGGCCTCCGCCAGTTGTTAGAATCGACGTACTCCGTCATCGCTCTGCTCTTCATTTTAGTAGCCTGCGTCGAACTCTGCGATGCCGCCGCTGCCGTCGACGTCTACCGTCTTATCCAATACGACATGTCCGGTACCCCTTTCGGATCTCGATTCGCCGCCCTCAACCACCACGCCTCCTCCTTGCGTTTCCCTCCTGGCGCCGATCTTTCCAGAACCGTTCTCATCATCCCTCTTCGCGAATTGAATGTCACCTTCGTTCGAGGTTCACTTTCATTTCACCAGTTAAATTTTCCCTCTATCTTTTATTCGTTTAGTTTAATTTCGTTTATTTCTTTCTTGGCAGAATATATTACTCAGAAAAAGCCGTTAGGAGGGTTGTTATTTTTGCTTCCTGAAGTACTTAGCTTTAAACAAGGAGGGAATAAGCAAGTTCATGAAAAAGGGAAAATGAAAAAATTATTGATGGAGCTCGAACAGTTGCTTGTACATTCAAATATACCTGTGAGTACATAGAAACATATTAATACATTTATGTATTGAGATTGAAGTTTCCTTGTTTGCCAACCTGATTTTCAGCAAGATCTGAGCCCTGTCAACTTCATGTTTTTTTTTCTTCTTGTAAATTATTTGTGGTACTGCATCGTTTTTATTTACACTAGCATCATCTTGATTGAATTTAACCTTGTTTGAATTATTCAGCTACTGTTCCAAAAATCCTGCAGAGTCTAAATGATTTAGATTCCACGTTCTTGATCTTTGCTTCCATCTTGAGAGGATGCCTGTATTCTCATTTTAACTAATTTGAATTGAAAATATCATAAACCATGAAATTCTCAGACATCCCTATAGATAACTCAGACACCAATGCATATTTAGGCTCTGAGCCAACTTTTTAATTGCTATTCTTGCATTTTCAGTTAGACTTTTTCCTTCAGAAAGTAATTGTAGTATGGTATATATTAGATCTCATATTCATTGGTGTCCTGAAGGACACCATCAATCTATTTTCTGCTTGTGTCATCAGCTATGAAAGACCCGTGTCCTCTATTTGTACGTTTTCATATGATTTTTACTATTTAAATCTTTAGTGTTTTTGTGATTCCAAAGTTTTGCTGCTTCCCTCTCCTCGATTCTCTTATGTCTTATGCTTTGGATTCTTAATTTTACTGTGGGATCTCCATGCTGCAGTATCCTGTCTATTTTGCTTTTGAGAATGATGACATTGATACTGTGTTGGCTGATATCAAGAAGAATGATGCGATGGGTCAGCCTGCTACTGCAACTACAGGCGGGTCAGTTGACAGCTTCTTTTATCATTTTATATATTTGGGTTGCCTAGTCCCTTAAAAGTTCATTTCCCATGATCTGTTCAGTTTGTTTTCTCGTGAATGATTTTCATCACACTTTTACCTCAACTAGAAAAGGAGATACTTCTGATCTGCCAGTTTTTGCTTTGAGAAGGGGAAGGGATTTGCAAAAGAAATAAGCTTTCTTTTGACACTGTTTCAGCAAAAGACCAAGGGGCCATGAAACTATTACATTGTTCTATAGGGATACTTGTTTGGTATCAGAAAACGGATCTAGTCTGAACTCTTATGTGCATTATTGAGGGAGAGAACATATTACCTTTTTTCTGTTTTTATTTTTTTATAAATAAAATTAGAATGATCACTTTCCCAGCTGAAGGAGCAAAAACGATGCAGTTGTTTTGTTCACTAGGATCCTACATTAATCTTACTGTATTTTGCTGGTTTAGGGTTTTTCCTTTTTTTTGCTTTTCTTTTTACCATGTTTGCATAATCGTAATATAACTCTATCCCTAATGTATGTTTTTACCTTTTTATTATTTGGTAACTTGGTTCATTTCTCTTTTGAAGTTGGTAAGAAAATAGTCTTGTTTTGTTATTTGATTATATCCAAATCTTACTGTGAAATAATTGCAGATACAAGCTTGTTATCCCAATAGCAGAACCTAAGAAAGTTGCATCTCCCACAATCACTAATATCCAGGTGTGCGTGTCAAGTGTTACTTCTCTAAGTAAAGAAAACAAGTTGTAATTGGCGTGCTTCTTTTGTATGAAAAAATACCCTTCTTGCATTCAAACTGTTGAGGCTGAGGTCAATTTTAGTGTTGTTAAGGCATGTGCCTAGGCACACCTAGGGACTGTGCCTTAGCGCCAGACAACAACAATGCCTCAAACCCTTTTGGGCAAGTTGAATGTGATCGAGCACACACTTGTTCTGCACAATCGTGCTTTTTTTAAGGCCGTAGGTGGTAAAAACTCTGCTTGATTGTTGTTCTCTTTAATTTCATCAATTTTCAATTTTTTCATAAACTATGCCATCTCTTGACATCAGATATCGGTATGTTTAATTTTCTAATGCTAGTTTTCCCCCCTCACTGCTTGTATTACATGGGTAACGTTGAAAATACTGTTAATGGTGTTTGCAACAAGTTTTCACTCTGATAATTCTGCTCTGTGATAACAGGGGTGGTTGTCTGGATTAAAAGCTGATGAAGATGCAAATCAACTTCCAACCATTGCTATTGTGGCTTCTTATGATACGTTTGGAGCTGCTCCTGTACGTATTTTAATAAATTTAAGTGAAGAAAACAGTGTTACAGTTTATCTTTGCAGTTTATTATTATTAAGATCATATTTACTAGCATAGTTGTAAAAAGCGCGCCTAAGGCGCGCCTGAGGCACAAAAGCGCATAGGCCACTAAAAGGGGCTTTTTCAACACTGAAGCGAGGCACGTAGCCTAGGCACATCTAGGCTCAGTGAAGCACAGCAAGGCTCTGAGGCGCGAGGCTCAGTCGAGGCGCGATGTGGGCTTAAAACCTTGTGTTCCTTCATCGGAATCCCCACCGGGGTTTACAAATCGGGCCTCGACTCAAAGAACTCGATGATTTTCTCGTGTTTCCCTGTTTTTCCCTCTCATGTAGCTCTTCAGGGAGGCTTTGTCAACCTTTAGTTTATTGGTCGACTTGGCGTACGTTAGCAATTTGAGTTGGTGTGAAGGTTGGAGCGGTAGAAGTGGGGTCAGGTGAAGGGACAACCACTGGATACGGCGGTTCACGACAGCGATGGATAGGTGTTGTTCATCCTCCATTGTCTTATTTGGATTCATTTTCTACAAAGAACAAAAAGGTTGGTGGGGGGATTTTGAACGGTGGTTTGTCTTCGTACGAATAAGAAGGTGAAGAAAAGGAGAAAGCGACTAGTGAGTAATTTTAAACACAAAAGCTATGGTAATGTGTCGTATTTTGATTGGCGGGAAGAAAAATCTTTAGTTGTCGCGGGTACTGGTGGGGAATGGATAAAGTCATGACGTGGAACGTTTTGTGACCAGTTGATGTGGATTTTTGTTTATATTAATTTAATCGTAATTAAAAATTTACGTCTAACAACATTTCTATATTTTACCTTTTCTAAATAATGATTAATATAAAATTAAATGTCTAAATCATATTTAAAATTAATTTTTGATGTTTAAATTTTTTTATTAAAAATAAGTGTATAATGCTTCTTCCGTTACACTTTTAGGTTTCTACTGTTAATAAAAACGTGAATGACATGTGTCACGTTTGATGTTTGATGATGATTATCAGTGACTTTATTTGATGTTTTGTTTATGCATGTTGGATGCTTTTGTTAAACTTAGTACTTGATTATGCTTGTTGATAGCTTTTATGACGTTAGGTTGGTATTTGAGTTTGAGAATGAACTCTATTGAAACCTAATATTGGGTATCTATGATATTTGAGTTTGATTGCATTAATATGTACATGTATTACAATTTTTTGGATATCATGCGCCTCGTCTTTGTGAATCCCGCGCCTTTCATGTGCTTCGCGCCTCAAGGCTCTAGGATACTTTGCGCCTCGATACGCCTTGAGCCTTTGATAACTTTGTTTACTAGTAATTTAGAAGCCATTCTTAAGTGGGCTTGCTTGCTTAGTAAGTCTTCTATTTTCATAAGGTATGTAACTTGTAGAATTCAGAGTAATTCTCTGTAATTTCTTATTCTTTTCAATATGACAGATTACATATTTATATACAAAATATCTCTCTAAAGTAGGAAACTCTAAGAAAGGAAAAATAATAATCCTAGGATATGATCCCTTAAAATAAGGGATTGTAGAAATCTATTTACAAAATCACATCTCTATAGGAATGGTAACAAATCATATCTCTATAGGAATGGTAACAAATCATCTCTATAATTCCTACACTCCCCCTCAAGCTGGAGAATAAGCTGGAGAATATACATTGTATAATCCCAGCTTGAATAGGAATTTATTGAAAACAGGCTTTGACAAAGCCTTAGTAAGAATGTCTGCAACTTGTTCTTCTGAAGGAATGTATGAAAGTGTGGCTGTCTTTTTGTTAACTTGATCAGCAATAAAATGCCTATCAATCTCAACATGCTTTGTCCGATCATGTTGAACTGGGTTCTTGGCAATTTGAATAGCAGATTGATTATCACACAAAACTTCAAAGTGATCCTCTTGATTAGTGACAAGTTCTTTCAGTAGTTTAAGTAGCCAAATTCCTTCGCATATTCCCAATGCTAGTGCTCTAAATTCAGCTTCAACACTACTTCTTGAAACGACAGATTGTTTCTTACTTCTCCAAGTTGTAAGGTTTCTCCAAACAAAGGTGCAGTAGCCACTAGTGGATCTCCTTTCAGTAAGGTCTCCGGCCCAACTAGAATCTGTAAAGATCTTAACAGTTTTGTCTTCTGTCTTCTTAAACATTAAACCGTGTCCTGGAGTTTTCTTCAAGTACTTGAGAATTCTATTTGCTGCTGCCATATTCTCTTCAGTAGGATTAGTCATGTGTTGACTTATCACATTTACAGGAAATGTTATATCTGGCCTTGTTAAGGATAAATAAATTAGTTTCCCAACTAATCTTTGAAATTTCTCTGTCTACCAAGGACCCATCTTCTTTGTTAAATTTCAAGCTTGTCTCCATTAGTGTATCAATCGGCTTACAACCAAGAAAACCAGTTTCTTTGAGTAAATCAAGTACATATTTGCTTTGGTTGATCACAAGTCCTTCTTTTGACCTTGCCACCTCCATTCCTAGGAAATACCTTAGCTTTCCCAAGTCCTTGGTTTCGAATTCCTTATTTAACAACTTCTTCAAATTGCAAATCTCTTCTTCATCATCTCCGGTAAGAATTATGTCGTCCACGTACACAATAAGGATAGCTTTCTTATTTGTAGAAGTTACCTTGATAAAAAAAGTGTGATCGGCGAGGGATTGCTTGTAGCCGTTTTTTAGGATGACTTTAGTGAACCTCTCGAACCAAGCTCTGGGTGATTGTTTTAACCCGTATAGAGACTTGTTGAGCTTGCACACCTTGTTACTTCCTTCAACAGACTTTAAGCCAGGTGGCAATTTCATATAGACTTCTTCTTCTAGCTTGCCATTAAGAAAAGCGTTTTTCCCATATTTTTCTGTAAAGCCTCTGGCCACTAGTCTCGCTTTGTATTGGATGCTACCATTTGAGTTATACTTTACAGTAAAGATCCATTTACAGCCAACAACCTTTTTTCCTTGAGGAAGGTCCGTAACAGTCCAAGTAGCATTTTTCTCCAGTGCACAAATTTCCTCTTCAACAGCTCTTCTCCATTTTGAATCCTTTAGAGCTTCAGCTATGCTTGTGGGAACCTGTTCTTTATCCAAGTTTGCTGTAAATGCTTGAAAAGACGGCATCAATGAATTATAACCAGCAAATTTTTCAATAGGATGCTTGGTGCACTGTCTAACCCCTTTTCTAATAGCAATAGGGAAGTCATCTAGAGTAGGGGAAGTGGACTTACTGATTTCTTCTATTTCGGCAGCTGGACCCAAATCCAATTCTCGGCAAGCATCAGATTGCAAAACAGCCTCAGGAATATGTTTTCTTTTCCTTGTATAGAAACGGAGCTGTTTGATTGGTGTTGTTTGTGGAATATTTTGAATGAGAGTAGGTGTATTTTTAGGAAGGGTATTTAAAGTGGGTATGGGTGAAGTAGTGATAGGTACTACCAGTGGATCAATGGGAGTAGTTACAGGTGACAAATCTGTAGGTAAGGACAAAATTGGTGGCAATTCTGAAGGTTGAGAATGAAGAGTAGGAGGAGATACCTGATGTGGTTGAAAATCCTTCCATGTCTCCCCCTGAATTTCAGCCTGAGTGAAATAGGGATCTTGTTCATAAAATGTTATATCCATAGTGGTAAAAAATCGTTTTGAAGGAGGATGATAACATTTATAACCCTTTTTAAGTGAAGAATACCCAACCAGTACACAATTTAATGATTTAGGATCTAACTTGGACTTATTAAGAGCAATGTTTTGGATAAAAACAGTACAACCAAATATTTTAAGTGGAAGAATGGAGGAGATAGGTTTAAAATGGGGAAAGTATTGCAGAAATATAGATTGAGGTGTTTGAAATTATAAAACCTTACTAGGCATTCGATTGATTAAATATGTGGCAGTTAATAAGGCTTCCCCCCACAAATATTTTGGAACATTGGTGGTAAATAGAAGAGAACGAGTAACTTCAATGAGGTGTCTATTTTTTCTTTCGGCAATACCATTTTGTTGTGGGGTGTCAACACAAGAACTAATCTGAACTATGCCCTTTTTCCTTGAAAAACGCACCCAAAGACTTAGCAAAAAATTCACTGCCATTATCAGATTTAAAGAGCTGAATTTTAGACCCAAATTGAGTGAGAACCATGTTATAAAATTGGGTAAAAACACATGCAGTTTGAGATTTATCTTTTAGCAAATAAGTCCAAGTTATCCTACTGTGATCATCAATGAAAGTTATAAATCACTTACAATTATCAGCATTCTTCACCCAAGAAGGACCCCAAATATCACTGTGGATCAAAGCAAAAGGGTGAGAAGGCTTATATGTAGAAGGAGAATAAGTTGATTTAGTATGTTTGGCAAGAGAGCAAATTTTGCAAGAAAAAGAATTTGGCCTTTTATGAATGAATAGAGCAAGAAAAACTTTTGCAAGATAGTGAAAACTAGGATGACCTAAACGATAGTGCCATAACACAACATTATCAACTTTTTCTAAAGTGGTGAAAGATTTCGAGATTTCGGTTTTAGTAGAGGCAGGAAGAATATAGAGACCATTCTGCAAGCTGGCCTTACCAATCATCTTCTTCGAGTTCAGTGCCTGCAAAGTACAATCAAAATCATTAAAAATTGCAGAGCAGTGCAAGTCGGTGAAAAGTTTACTAACGGAAACGAGATTGCAAGCCATATTTGGTACGAAGAGGACATTTTTAAGTACAATCTGGTCATTGAGAATAACAGTGCCTTGTCCTTCTATTTTGCACAAAGAACCATCAGCCGTTTTGACAACTTTACCAAAGTTTGAAAAAAAAATTGCAAAACAAATCTTTATTACCAGTCATATGATCCGTAGCACCAGAATCGAGGATCCAATTAGGGGACGACTGGGAGGAGAAAAAAACTGTAGCATGAGGTTTACCTTCTGGTTCTTTCATGACCAGATTACCTTCTGATTGAGCAGCAGAACCAGAAAAATTTTCTGGATTTGAAGTGATCTCCGGAGTAGGAGAAGAAGTTGTGGACATAATCTAGATTGGAAAGAAACCGTAACCTAAGTTGATACCATGTAGAATTCAGAGTAATTCTCTATAATTTCTTATTCTTTTCAATATGACATATTACATATTTATATATAAAATATCTCTCTAAAGTAGGAAACTCTAAGAAAGGAAAAATAATAATCATAGGATATGATCCCTTAAAATAAGGGATTGTAGAAATCTATTTACAAAATCATATCTCTATAGAAATGGTAACAAATCATATCTCTATAGGAATGGTAACAAATCATCTCTATAATTCCTACATAACCTCTATTTAAAGAGGCTTATTATCTTCAATAAGGTTTAAGTCAGAATTTTAAGAAAAGAAAAACCCTAAGAGGTCTAAGTTTCCCTCTAAACAAGTCTAAGGCTTGAAATTCCCTTTGACGAGCCCCACTATCAATTGAAACTCGCTATTGAAACAATTTGGTATGATCATAACATTTGGTATCAGAGTAACTGAACCTCGACAATGAAGGTGTGTAATTTTTTTATTCATGTAGGCATTATCATGGGAAGTGACAGCAATGGAAGTGGCATTGTGGCTCTTCTTGAAATGGCAAGGCTTTTCTATCTTCTCTACTCAAACCCTAAGACAAGAGGAAGGTACAATTTACTTTTTGGCCTGACATCTGGTGGACCATATAACTACAATGGGACTCAGAAGGTGATTAGTCTTCCTTGGTGAACAAATCTTTTTGTTACCTCTCCAAAAGCTCGTGTATCTTTTTGATTATCTATTGCTATCAATTTTGGTTATTATGATCATATAATTATCATATGTGGTGCAGTGGCTTCGGAGTTTTGATCAACGTCTACGTGAGAGTATTGACTATGCTATTTGCTTAAATAGTATTGGTTCTTGGGATAATGAATTATGGATTCATGTGTCCAAGCCTCCTGAGAATGCCTACATCAAGCAAATTTTTGAGGTCAGCCAGTAATATCTGGCATAATAGGCTTTTAAGGCATATTGATATCGATGTTTCTTAACATGTTTCATATTCTGATACATAATGTTTATTGAAGGGTTTCTCTAATGTAGCTGAGGAGTTGGACCTCAAAGTTGTCTTAAAGCACAAGAAAATTAATATTTCCGATCCTCGAGTAAGTTGACATATGCATGTTTCAATTTTTGAACCGTTTTTGTACCCATTTTCCAAATTAAGAACTTATGTCTATGAATTTCAGCTATAGGAGCATATGAAAATTTAAGTTGATATGTCTATGAATGAATTTATTTTTGCGGTTAGTTATAAAAAAATATTTTTGTTGTTTCAACAATAATCCCTTTGCCCTTCAAAATCCTTTGATCTATAGTGGGCAGAACCCTTTTTCTGGACAATGGTTAATTTGAAATAAATGTGTTTCACATCAGACTTTACAACATGACACACATGAAGGTGCACTCTTTCTGTGCTTGCCTTTATGTTGTTTATAAGCGGTAATAAAGCAATTGAGCTGCTGTAGGTAGCTTGGGAGCATGAACAGTTCTCAAGGCTGAGAGTCACTGCTGCCACTCTTTCTGGATGTCCTGTTGCACCAGAACTCTTCGAAGGCACTGGTGGTCTGTTTGACGGCAGGTCATATTTTCAAACCTAAGCCTTTATTAATTTTATTGCCACCATGTGTTTGTCTGTGTTTGAGACTAGTAGCTGAGAGCACATTTTTCTTTTTGCAGACAATATGTGAATGAAACTGCAATTGTTAGAGGTGTGAAGTTAGTTGCTGAAAGTCTTGCGGTAAGATCAAATGATCTTCTAGTAGAGTTTAGTCATGGAATAAATTAATTACAGTTATTTCGGCAGGAAAATGATCATATGTTGCATAAGTTCATCATTATAGAGATTTAATCTTTTAGACATTGGAGCAAAGTCCCAAATACACTCATGTGAGAATAGGAGGTGAAAAAGAAGAAATATGTGTAGAAAGTATGAACAGAACCGTTCTTTTACTGGCTGTAATTCTATGTAGATTGTTGAGAGCCTGACCAACTAGTTAGTAAAGGCTGTTTATTTTCTTTTGTTAATTCATATGTATAATAAGAGGATGTATAATTGTATATAGTTATTAATTTCTGTCTAAAGACATTAAGGCTTTATCATTGTTTGGCATGGATGTGTGCCTTTAGTTTAAAATTGTCTTCCCTCTTTTTGCAGAGGCATATCTATGGTCACCAGGGAAAAAGTGCCCAAATTTTTGCAGATGAGAGTAGTTTGTCTGTCAATCCTGCATATATACGATCTTGGCTGAATCTTTTATCACAAACACCTCGAGTAGCTCCATATCTGTCAAAGAATGACCCTTTTGTCATGGCATTGAAAAAGGTTCATAATCTAATCCTTTTTCTTTTTCTTGTTTCTTTCTAGAAGATTAAAGTGTACATTAAGAATTGTATTGATTTTCCTTGGAGTTGAAATTAGGTTAAAAGAATCAAAATGAACGAAAAAACAAATATATGATAATCTTTGTTTCTTGTCCTGTTGTTATGTTCAAATTGTTAAAGACATTATTCAAAAGCTTAGTGTTTATGAAGGTTTTATTAGTTGGGTTAGTAGGACAGCCAATATAGAGGCGGATGTCCTAGCTAAAGCTGGTATTGGTTGAATTATGTTCTGTTAAGGGCTGTTTCTTTCTGGTTTTGTATCTCTTGAGGGAGATTAGTTTGTATTACTTTGTTATATTTGAGGTTAATGAAATCCTAGGGCACTCTTTTCCTCCTTGTGCGGATTAAGGAGCTATTTTTAAGTTCCGTTAATCACGAAGGGGGTTTTATTGAGGCCTACTATTCCTATCAAAAAAAATACATATGATAATCTAAAACAGGGATCGTCTCAAATGTCTTGGTAATGGCTTTTCCAAACGGGAATTTGATGGTATAAAACCTTGCTTTATGAAAAAAACTTGCATGTACTATTGATAAGAAGAAAAAGTAAAGAAAAGGTATTTGTATTTCAAACTTGATCTCGTCAAAACTTTTATTCTTGTCTATTGGTCTGATGAACTTTCATGTATCTTTTTTGGAAAATATATGACTGAGAATAGGGATTTAGGGTAAATGGTGAAAACACTGGAATGACTTGGCTTGTGCTTTCTATTGCTTTCACTTCTACAGCGTTTTTTGTTTTGCTCAATGGCAGGAATTAGCTGGTCATGCTGACGAAGTGAATGTGCAACATGAGAATCTTGAAGGGATATTTACTTTCTATGATTCAACTAGCGCTAGGTTAAACATATATCAGGTATTTACTATAGTTGCTAACAAACAGTGAATATTTCCTTTTTCCCCCCCTAGCTGTGCTATCTTTCTATTGGTTTATTTAACTCTTATTTATTTTATTTTACTTTTTCGGACCTTAGACCACTGACAGATTGGTTGAGAGTTGAAACTGCATGGAGATATAAACTGGAGTTGTTTCTATATCCACCTGTTCTTTAGTATTGAAGATAATGACTTGTTTAAATGTGCTGTCACAGGTTGCTAGTGTAACATTTGACTTGCTGTTACTCCTTGTTCTGGGATCGTATTTGATAATGCTCTTCTGTTTTCTTGTCATCACAACTAGGGTAAACACTTCACCATTAAGAAAATCTTCAACGTTTATGTTAATGCTATGTATTCATCTCTTTTACCTGTTTAATCCCCTACCCCCACACACACAATAATAATTTATTTTAAAATCGAATGCTAATCTGATCACAATGCTTTTCTACAGGGTGTTGATGATCTAATCGGTTTATTTCGCCGACCCCCTTCTCGAAGGGTGAAAACTGCTTGATTGATGAAGTAACATTATACACAGAAATGCATGGTATGAATGGTTTTCTGATATAGCATAAATTGAAATCTCTGGGGTTCTCAAGTTGATACTAATGATTTTACTAGTTTTATCTTGAGGGATGCTTTTAAATTTTGCTCCAAAATAGATGGTAACTTTATTTTTCCAAGAATGGAATCAATCAAAATGCAAGAAATTTTAGTCAGATCTATTCGATACGGTTTTCAATATTTAGCTTACTGTATCTCTGAGAATAATACGTAGGGGTTCTGCATGAATGGTGCAAAAATATTAGCACGGTGAAGGCATTTGTTGTCACTCTTTTTGATGGCGGTGATGATGATGATGGTGTTTGGGATTTGAGTTTTGATGATGGCGCGTTCTATGGGTTGTCCACGATGCTTGGAATGATCTTGTAGTTCCTACGAAGGTCGGTTAAATGCTTTGCTTATGCAATTTCATCCTTTACAAATACATATTAAGATGGTAATATTTTCTTTTTCTGGGTGATCTAGGAATTGAACTTGGAACATGATATAGGAATACCATTTTTTTGGGGGGGGGGGGATTAATAGGGGACCAGAGGAAAATAAAAACCATGTCCATTTGCATTGTAGTATCAAATGAACTACTCTTTGATATATAAATTCGTTTAATCTATCAAGTTGAAGTATATATTATTTTATTGGGTAAATTGCATTGAATGTCACTAATATACATTGAATTTTAAAAATAAATTACAATTGTCTTAACTGGTGATGATAAACAAGTCATTTATTTGTCAAAATAAAGTGATTTTTTTGTAACACTTGAATTTCAATTATTATTATGAATATTAAAAATAATTTAATATGATGGATTCCATTATAAAACGGATTAAATGTATCATAAGGTATTTTTGGTGACGTTTTGTCTCATAATGTTTAAATGGTTACTTTGCTTGCTTTAAATTGTTTTTGTTAATTTTTTAATTAAGGATAAATTATATATTTAGTCATTTAACTAATCTCGTGGTTATGTTTTGGACAAAATTACATGTTTTGTTCAAAATCATCATATAACTTAAAAAAAATTATGTTTTGATCATTCAATTTGATTCAATTTAATTTTTAAATTTGTAAAGTATATGAGTTCAAGTATATCATGATAACACTAATATATATAAAAATTCATTTTTATCTTTTTAACACAAAATATTAGAATATACCACTATCAGTTCTTGCTGTCATTCTAATTCCACCAAATTCAATCTTATATGATGATAAAGTACATTGTACTGTAGTATCATAGATAGGGAGCAGTTCTAATCTTATATATTATCTCTCAGTAGTAGCATTATTCCCAGTATTATCAACCAAATTCTCTAGAGTTGCCGACAAATCAGCACATTGTACTGTAGTATCAGGCAACTAAGTGGCCTTCATTCTTCTTTATTTTCAGATACAAGTCCCTGATTTGGTATGGCTCCTATGCTTTTATGATATCGATATCTTGGGAGTTTGCATGCTTGAACACAACAATGATCTGCCTGCTTGAGGACCAACATGATCAGGAGAAAAACAACGCTTGATCATTTAAATTACGCTCAACGGGAAATGCTCACGTGAGGCGCTTAATATACAGCTAGAAAAAAGCGGTATCGATTTTGTTATTGGCTAAAAAATGCGGTACCAGTTTTGTTATTAGCTAAAAAATTGTGGTACCTGTTTTGTTATTGTTGTGTATAACAAAACCGATAAAAATTACCGAAAATATCATTATTTCTACCGATTTTGTTATTATTTGATATTTTACCGGGTAAAATATACCGGTTTTGTTATTGTTGTGCATAACAAAACCAGTAAAAATTACCGAAAACATTATTATTTTAACAAAACCGGTAAAATGCTACCGATTTTGTTATTTTTTTACCGGTTTTATTATTGTTGGCATTTTACCGGGACCGGTAAAAATATTATTTTTAAAATATTAGAATAATTTATTTAATATTATTTATGTCAATATTATTATTAAAATATTATATCTATAATTTTATAAATAAAAAATTATGATTATTATATTTTAAAAAATAAAATTATTATAAATTATATTTATTATAATAAGAATAATATATCATTAATTATATTATAATGAGAGAATAGTTAAACATATGTGTTGATACATTTTCTAAAAGTATCGACGCATATGTTACATCGAAACCGATAATTATAATGTAATAGGTAAATTTACAATGTAACCGGTATAAATATATCGGTTTTATGAGATAATATGTCAACATAATGTATCGAAACAAATTTAAAAAGTGTCGATACATTTTGTCCAAAATGAATGCCAAACGAGGTGCAAGCATAAAGTGTCGATATATTTATTAAAAGTATCGATCCTAAAAAACATCGAAACCGATAATTACAATGTAATAAGTAAATTTACAATGTACCGGGTAGAAATATACCGGTTTTATGAGAAAATAGGTCTACATAATGTATCGACATGTTTTAAGTTTGTGTCGATACTTTTTTTCAGAATGAATACCCAACGAGGTGCACGCATAAAGTGTCGATACATTTAAAATTGTATCGATCCCAAAAATATCGAAACCAATAATTATCATGTAATAGGTAAATTTGCAATGTTACCGGTATAATTATATCGGTTTAGTTAGAAAATAGGTCAATATAAACGCTATCTATTACATTATATAAGCGCTACATAATATGTTATTGTACTTGATAATATTTCCGATTAAATACTTATTTTATTATATAAGCGCTACCTATTACATTATATAGGCGCTACCTAATATGTTATTGTATTTGATAATATTTCCGGTTAAATGATATAACATAACCAGTGTAAATTTTAACCGATCACTTATTTAACCGGTCACGCCGTTTTTTAACCGTCGCACAGCAGAACTTCCCACGCTCAACAAGCACAGCAGCAAGATGTTGAACCTGTCAAAAGTAAAGAGGAAAATATTAGTAAATAATAAATCAATTCACTATTAGATGCCAAAATGGAATATAGCTGTAATAAAGACAAGAATTAAGACCAAGATTTCCAACAGAATACTGCAAGAAGAAACAGTATGTACATGTAAATATGAAGATGTCACAATTTTATACGAAGCATCGAATTCAGTTGTCTTTTGCATGAATTTCACAGGCTTCCTTTTCTATGTTTCCTAGGGAACTAGTTGGATAAGAATCATCATATAAAGATTCAGTATGATCTGCCACCATTGCGTTGTCCCTCATCAAATGCTTGAGATAGGTTTTCATTTTCTTCAATGGAGACACTGGAGTTGGTTTTATGTTGAGATGGGCACACTTGAGATGTGATGCCAGTCTCACTCTCATTGAGCACTACATCCAAGCGAGAAAAATCTTTGGTTAAATTGGATGCGATAGCAGTTCCCAGCTTTTTCTCACATTGTCTCTCTGGACTCTGATAGAGGTGATAAAAGGTCAGGGTGGCATTTCTTCAAAACGGGTGGTGTACCAGTAAATGTTTTTGCAGCACTTTTAAGCAGAGCATCAGGACTGTTGGTGAATCCCACAACCCAAATGGACTGATGCAGTTTGTAGTAGACATCAGAGCTGGTGAATACCAAGAAGACTATATTCTTGCTGCATATCACAGCCAGAGAGGGTATAATGTCATAGCTGAAAGATGGAATATCCATACTTGGAAATCGAGGAAGCTCGTAACATAGACCTCCAACTACTGTTTATAATATATTACAAATTTAAAAAAAAAATCAAATCGAAACAGAATAAATACTTAAATTTAGTGATAATTTTAAATAAAAAATAGTTAAATAACCTAAATGAAATTGCAAGAATAATTAAATATAAAATTTACTTTTACTATTTTTTTAATAGATGAACAATTTGGAACAAATGAGATATCGATTTAAATTTTAAGAGACAAAATGTCTCAAAAAATACTTTAAGACAACTCGGTGCTAAATGCATAATTTAGTAGGCAATGATTGCATTTAAACTTTATAAAATTCTATAGTTAATCACCAGCGAATTAACCATCATGAATGATTTAATCGAATGAACTTGATCAAAGACTACTTTAAATTTCAGAATTTCAGCTTCATTTGAGGGTATTCTTAGAATCGTGATTTGAATTTGAAGATTAAAATCGAAGAATTTACAGTCTGATGAGTTGGTCCCAGTAGATAAGAATTGATGTGTATTTCACACAACACATTGATTATTGTATGATAAAATCTGTAGCCTTGCCTTTGCTTCTACTGCCGGTTTCAATGAGATAACAGACCATGGAATCAACGTCATCCCCGAATATGCTATACGCTTCATTTGCCTGCATATAACTGAACCCCATTGACAACAGTAATTGCATCCCACTGCTCAGAACGCCACCACCATCCTCCAATCCCTGCTGCTGCTCTTTTGACCCTGATCACAAACATTCATATTCATATTCATATTCATGACCAATATCATGATTCACAATCTCTGTGGAATACTCACTAGTGCCAGACGATGACGGTTCAGCAGTCGAAGTCGATGATTCTTTACGTCCCACTTCTGGCTTAACATTGCAAAGGTATTCAGCTCGAGATGCTTCCATAACCATTTGCTCGATTTCCTTCTCGGTAAGTTCAAGATCAGAGTAAAATCTAACCTCAGCAAGAAGTGCCTATCAAATATACAGTTTTGTTACTAACAGTATCTTCCTAAACACAATGTAAAAGATCATAATTTCAAAACTACTTACATTGTCAATCTGCTGGTCTTGTTGAGATTTAATAGCCGCCTTCACTTGATCCTTGTCCACATCTGCCTGCACAACCAAACAATGTCAGAAACCTAAATCCAATTTGTGATACTAATTCATTCAAGACAATATTCTGCCATTGAAGCCTTGGGGTACAATTTGAATTCCGAAACATGGCCAAAGCAGCAATAAGCATGTTCTAACCGATAAACAACCAACCAAGAAAGTGGGAAAGGAAGAAAGAAATTTAGACACACCCCTCGAAGACAGCTAAATCCGAGCCCAGCACCAACCGCCAAACGACAAGGGTCAACCAGAGAGTTATAATGATTCCCATGATGGTAGCTCAGCCTTATCGGAGGTGTGTCCGTATTATAGCTTCCATGAAATATGTTGATAGGTTCTGCATCAAACAATATTTTTGTCCATAGGAGGTAAGACAATGATAGAGCACAAAAGCAAAATCAACCATCAATCAAGTAATCACCTAGGCTGTAGGAATAGATATGAATAGGTCTGTTGTACATTTCCGACAAAGCTTGAATCTCCACATTGTTCCCATAGACCTGTATCCAAGATAAAAGAAACGATGCTTTCAAAACATATTACCCGACAATGTACCTATCCCCATACTAGACATTAAGATAGTACGGTCAATTACGAGCTTCTGCATACCTTATCTCTTCTTTTCCTCTTACAATAAGAGGTAAAACCTTCTGTTATGAACTGAGAAAAGTGATCCCTCTCTCGTTCCTGGATAAACAAATTTAAATTTAAGTATCACCATAAAAATATTCCAAATCTCAAGCACCTCGACACTAATGTTACTGAAGATTACAAAAAAATAATACACTTAAAACGATAATCAAGAAATCTAGAACTTATACATACTTTAAAAAAAATTGTTAACAGGTGATTAATACAAATAAAAATAGATGACAAAAACTGAACTTGCCTATGTTTAATCACATCCAGATATTTAGTGTAGCTCAAACTTGTAACATATAACAAATACCACAAAATATGCCAATCTAATAAAGAAAAAGATCACTCCTTTTTCTACCATAATTCAAAATCAATCCACCTATAAGTATTTATGGTGCATAATTCAAAATCAAGATTCAAGTATCAGATATTAGTACCATGTAATCAATGCACATTTGTCGAGTCAAATCATAGGCTTCAGAGTCGCCATACACTTGATCAGCAACAGCACGGAAGAGGCAGTTACCATCTTCTAGCATCCGTTTGACTTCCAAACCTTTTGCCAGTCTAATATCTATTTCAAATTGACGTTCTCTTTCCTGGATCGGATGCAACAAACCAGTACCAAAGGTGAATCAGTTGTTGAAATTGATCCACGACACTAAGCAACTAAGCATCAACTTCAGGACACATTTCTTCAAAAGGAACATTAAGTGTACAAGCATTCCATTCAAACATAAGAAAGCATGGATATAAAATAGATTAAGGCACAATAGCACATGGTCATATCAGATTTTCCATGTCGGTCATACAAAGATTTCCATACAAGACTACTTCTAGTGAATTAATATACGAAACATAATAAGGATTTGATTATTTAGAATAAAACTTACTGCATCATCGTAGGAGGATACAAAGCATGGATTCTGCTCATCGGAACTGTTATAACCGTCACTCTCTCTGTGAGATCTAGGAGAAGATGGGCGTGACCCAAAGGATGATGTACTTGTTGAAACAGTGGGCCAGGCAACAGCTCTTCTAGATGATCCACCACGAGCAGGATTTGAATTTCCTGAAGCAAATCTTCTTGAGTTTGAATTAGCCGTTGAAGGTTTAGGTGGTGGAACAGGAGGTGGAGGCGGATGAGGACTTCCACTTCCAAATGGTAAGGGATCATTACCTGAACCTTCAGTTTCAGCCACAACATTTTTAGGAATCCTCACCCCACCCAAATCATTCATTATATCACACGGACCGGAGGCATCAAGAGCATTCATTTGCTCACCCTCAACAAGTGCATCACTCGAAGTTACGTTCCAATCATTCGGCAAGTTTTCTGGCAAAGGTTCATCACTTTCCACAGCCTTATTTTTACTACTCCTATAACACTCTACAAGTTCAACCGAATCAATTTGTTCCTGCACTTCCTCACTAACCTCATCGTCTTTTGCAGTGGGTGGAACTTGAATGGGAGAAGAAACTTGTGGCTCCGTCAAAGAAGAAGATGACCCAGGCAAGGATGAGGATCGGCTTGGATTTGAAGAAGACCTGCTAGAGGAACCTCGTTGAACCAATATGCGAGTCATTGCTTTCGATGATAATTATTCTCAATGAGAAGCAGAAGTACTACTTCTTCCTTTTTTCCAAAACCCCCTAAATTTAGAGGCACAGAGCCCAACTCATAGCTTTGTCTCGTTTTCTTGCCTTGGGCGCGGTAATACCGATCCCTTGGGTGAAGGACTTCTTCCAGCCCAGCACGTTGGTCTCGTCACGAAGCAATCTCTGCATTCCCCTAACAAGTCTCATGAGACCCAGACTTTGATACTTTTAAACAATAAAACCCTCAAAGTACTCGAAAACCTATACCCAGAAAAAATTCCCAATATTTCACCTTCACTAGCCCAAGCTGCAATCAACAACCACGCAAATTTCCAAGAAAAAGAATATCAACCAAAACATGAAAACTTTATCTACCCAAACCTTTTTTGATTGCCAAGAAAAGGTAGGAAACGTCTTAAAATGATAAGAGCCTCAAAACCCTCTATTATCATATACAATTAAGACTAAAAGGTTCAGTAAAATGGACCCAATTAACACCAACTCGACTTCACGCAAGAAAATCAAAACTTTCTCCACAATTGAATTACTTGAAAAGTTATCTATCTTTTATTTTTCCTACCATTTCTTAGCAACCAACTAAGCATACAAAAAGGGTAACAAAAGAACAATACAAAAACACAAAAATCAAGCAAATATCATAACCCCAAAAAACCAATCCACAATAAAAGATCAAGAGAATCCCATAAACAAAAGCCGATCAATAAATTGAAAAACTGATACTTTAAAACAAAAAATTAAAATCCAAACATTGACTCAGCAGCAAGAAGTGGAAAAAAATTAAAAAAAAAGAGAGAAAAACTCACCTCAAAAAGACAAAGAGAGCCTTTGGTAGCCCAGTTGAGATCTGCAATTCAAGAAACAAAAACAGAATGAAAAAGATTGGATATTTATCTAATTCTGCGTTAGGGTTTTAGAAGAAATAAAGCAAAAGCCAAAGGAAAGAAGATAACTTGATGGCAAAGGAGAGTATACTATTTAAAGAAATGAAAATATTTCCCCCGTTTTTTCTTGTTTTTAATAGAGAGAAAATCTCTTTATAAGGAGGAAAATGGGAGGCTGCCTTTTAAGCGTCGACGACAAGGTGGCTCGTCGCCGAGGAGCTGACACGAGGGGAGTAGGCCGGTGGAGCAGGTGTGAGATTTGTACAACATGGATTAAATTAGGATAGTGACGTGGCATTCCATGATTGGGTGGAAGGACAGATCTCTGTTTTTTTCTTCCGTTTGCTTTCAGACTTGATTCCTTTCTTTACTTCACAGATTCTGCTCTTCTGTTTGTTCCTCATAAATTTGACGGTTGAAAGTCCGTATACATTATTTCTATATAATATTTTTTTAATAGAGACATAATGAAAAAATAATTTAATTAAATATTTATTTTGATAAGTAATATTTTGTTTTGAGATAAAAATTATTAATCAATAAATGGGTGATTTTATTAAAATATCATCCGGTAATAATTATATGTCGGACATTTTTTTTCTTAATATTATTGATCTAATATCTTTTTAGACAAGACATAGATAGTGATTTTGTCTGAATTGACGCCACGTAAAGAAAGACACAGATCATCATATGCGCCACGTAAAGGAAGGCACGGATCGCCATGTAAAGGAAGGCGAGAATCATGAAGTGCGCATTCCATAAGTTCGCATTATCTAAAAAAACATTTTAAAAAATATACTTTAAAAAAATTTAAAAAATAAAACTATATGGACTAACATCGTAATTTAGTACATATTAATTTCATAAGTCGAAGAGTTTAATGGGGTTAATTTATATAGGCATATTAGAGTTTTAGGTTATGTTTCTTGATAATGTTATGTTTCTATGAGTTACTTTCGATCGTTTTCATTACATTTTTATTTTAAATATATACATATAAATATAATAAAAATTTGGTAAATTATTATTTGTTTAATTTTTAAGTTATTTTACATCAACCAAAAAAATAAAAGTGAAAAAATATGCTTGATTTTTTTAGTTCATTGTTGTTAAGCTTGTTTGATGTTGCACTTTGTGTTATTTGGGTTGATGTAAATAATTTAGGAGAAAGAATGTCTAACAGGTAATTATTATATGTACGAGTGATATTTGATAAAATCGCCCAATAAATGATCGATGCTTAAAATAAGGATTTTTTACCCTAACATGAATTATTAAAGAGTAAAATTATTTTAAAAGAAATAAGAGTTGAAGTGGTTATTTAATCAAACATTATAGATATTTTTAGCCTAAAATAAAATGTTTGAGACAAAATGCTTCTAAAAAAAGTTATAAATCAAAATAACTATTTAGTCAATGTTAAAAGCATTGTTAACGTTATGCTTTTAATATATTTAGCTTAAAATTTTGATATTATTTCATAAATTAAAAAATGAATTCTAAAATTGAATATTATTTTTTTAGTACTAATTTTATATGTAATGGATTAAATGCTAATTCACTATAAACGTAGAATTACAAAATAGTATAAAAATATCAAAAAACAATGTATTCTTAAAAATCCTCTCAAAATTTATACAAAATCATATTTGTATCATAATCCTAAAAATTGCAAAGATTCCAAAAAAAATTATATATCTTCAAAATAATTTATCTTTCATAATTCTAAAGATTAAGACATACTTCAAACTTATAAAGTGAAATATTTGGTAACTGAAAAACTTAATCACATAAGATTTATTTACTAAAATAAGTATTTACTTATTAAATAAATATAATTATGTAACATCCTCATACCGGGTTAGTGACTAAATTATAAAGTTTCAGAATTTAGTGATTAAAGTAGAAAAGTTGAATAGTTTAATGATTTATTTGAAAATATTTCTTGAAAGTTATTAGTAATTACTAAAGGAATCAAAGGGCAAAATGATCGTTTGACAAGGAAAGATATTTTTCCCTCTTGATAAGAATGAATTATGTGGGGGGTGGGGGGGGAGTTATCTACAAACTCTCTTCTTCTTCTTCTTCTTGCTTTATTCTTCTTGTGTCCCCAAGAGCAAATGTGAGTTTTCTATTTAGTTGATTACTTGTTGATTTTAAGGTTGGTTTATGATCATTAGATGATAACTAAGCTTAAGGAAAGCTTAAGTTATCTTAAAATCAAAAGATAAAGAAGTTATGAAAGATTAAAGAGAATGGGTTTTTAAATGAATTTCTGGAAAAGAGTTGATAAGTTGAATTTGAAGTTAAATTTGACTTGTCATCAGCCCAATTAAGAGATATGAAATGTTAGAATTGGATTTAAAACATGTTGAAAAATTGGATATGATTCTTGAAGTTCATAAAGAGGAGAATATTTTGAGGTTTAAGATGAGGTAAATTGATATAAATTTGTTTAAGTATGTTTATTTGAGTTAATAATATGAAAGGGAATGAAACATGAAGTATTGAAGATGAAAATAGTGAATTTTCGTATTTGAATAGTGATTTTTGGGCAAAAATTTACAGATTTCAATAGGGGTATCGGTATTCTATGCAGGGTACCGATACCCCATGTAGAGGGTACCGAAACCTATTTTGAACGAGAAATGAAAATAGTTTTTCTTTTAGTTTAAGAAATGAGAAAGTAGAGTATATCAATTAGAATAATGATATATATCAATGTATTACTATGTAGATATAAAAAATAATCCTGTTCCGGAACAATCAAAGGATTAGGATTGATTCAAAGCAAACAAGGCTAAGGTGAGTGCAATTTAATTTGTACTTATGTTATCGAATCAACATTGGCTTGTGACAAGTCAGTGACAGAGTTACTATGGTAAGAAGTGACTCCTAAAATATTATTGGATTTGTGATGCGTGCATAATGTTATACATGAATGTTTGAATACATGATTTCATAAGTGATTATAGGAACATGTAATATAAGATACATGAATTCAATATAAGTGAATACATGAAAAATATATAATTAATGAGATATAAGTGATTATGTAAAACTGTGAGATAAGTATATAGCATTGATATATGGGATGTATGAAAGTATGTACATGAATACATATATAGGTTTATAGGTTATTCTATGTGCTATGTGATGTATATATGAACCTATGTGAATAAGATATGACATACGTGTTTACATGAACACAAGATAAATGATATAAGCTATATGATAGACGATATGAGAACGTATTCAAAGGTCATATGTTATATGATATGAAATGGATGATCATATGCACATGTGATATGTGATAGAAGATATGATATGAGTACATGAATATATGAAGCATAAGAAAAATGCCCATGTTATATGATACGAGAGCTATAGGTATAGTTGGCATGCCAAGAGTCGAGGGTCTACGCGGTCCTTCGGGTTATATACAGTATACAGAGGTCATTCGGGACAAATTTCACATGCCCCTAATGGGACCCCATACGAGCTGTGGTGACAGTATATATGCACAACCTCTATGTACTCACATATCTTTAGTTCTCACAAGTGTACCATGGGCTAATAAAGAGACAATAACAAATACAATATATGTGATGTATATGCTTTTGGTGATATGAAATGTGTTACATGAATTATATGATGTTATATGCGTTTCTTTGTGAAATAATATATGTGCAATATGATATATAGAAATGATAAGTACAAGATCATATGATAAATAAAGATTATGATAATGATGTTGATAATGATGGTATATGTGCATGTATGCATTTTAATATATGAAATGTTCTATGGTTTCTATTATATGCCTCACTAAGTCAAAGACTTAGCGTGTGATTGTTTCACACGTAGGTTCCGAGAAGAGGAAGACTGATAAAAAGTTAAGCAAGACATGTCATTTTCTCCTTTCCAAAGATCAGATCAAAAAAGAAATGAATAGTTTGTATTTTGTAATACTAATTATGGTTGGCATGTAAATAAAGGTTTGAATCCGATATGTTCTAATAGGTTTTGTAAAATCATATGATCGAGTTTTGTAATGTTTTAAAGCATATATATGTAAATGGTAATCTTTATGGTGATAAAAGTTTATTTTTTATGAGTTTTATATAAGTGGATCGAAATTACTGTAGCAAGGGTATCGATACACTGTAGCAGGGTATCGATACCCCTGTAGCATTCTGGAAAATTTTAGCATTCGATATTATTCATACCGTATAATATTATTCATAAAAAAACGTTTCTTTTCTTAAATTTGTTATAACGAACATAATTCAACAATATATTATCGTATTTTCTTAATATAAGTTCAAATGTTATGTTATTTTGTAAGATTATTGTTTTAAAAAATCAATGTGACATCTAAGACTCGTATCCGGGTCAGGTACGGGTTGGAGGTGTTACAAATTATCAAATAATCTTCGATCAATAGGATTACAATAAATTAAAATTTAATTTAATTACTAATTAGAATGTGAGTTAATATCTCACAGTTTCCATTTATGCATTGAGTAAATAAGAGAAAAATAATAATCTATTATAAATGTAGATATCATGAAGAAGACAAGTATATGACATCTATGGGATAAAGTCTTCTTACGTAATGTAAAACTTTTTTTTAGTTTTACACATATTTAAGACCATTAGATGAATAAAAATATATGGTTGAGATTAACAGTAGGAAATAATGAGATATTTATTGGAAAAAAAAACAATGAGTTAATATCAATATTTTATATTTACTTATCCAACTATCATAAATATGTGTAAAACTAAAAAGTTTTACATTATGTAAGTGGATCCTAACTAACTAACTAACTAACTAACTAACTATATACATATATATTCTCAAAGCACTTCTCAATGCCCCTACAAAATCATCTATACAACATATACCTCAAAAATTACATAGATTCAAAAAATGGGTAAACTATATCTTTAGTACCTAAACTTTATTTTTATTTTCAAAATCATACCTAACATTTAGTTTATGTTTCATTTTGGTATATTGTCATTAAAAATTTAACGAAACTACTGTACATGTGACATTTTTATAGATAAATTACATCATTCATCACTTAATTATCTTCTCACTCCTATTTTGGTCACTAAAGTTTAAAAAATTTCAATTTAATTACTCAACTTTGAAATTTATTATTTTTAATCACTCTAATTTATTTTATTAACATTTCTATGACATGACATTTTTTACTATTTTATTAATACACAATTAAAATAAAAAATAAATTTAAAATTATACTCAAGCCTAAAAATTATACCACAAAACCTAAATCACAAATCCCTCATATATTAATAAAATAAGTTAGAATGATTAAAATATGAGTATTTTAAAAGTTAAGTGATTAAATTAAAAAAATTACTGACCAAAATTGAAGTGGAAATATAGTTGAGTGATGAATGATGTAATTTACCCATAAAATATGTCATGTACAATAGTTTCCTTAAGTTTTTAACGATGACTACTAAAATGAAACATAAATTAAACGTTAGGTATGGTTTTGAAAGGAAAAAAATAAAGTTTAGATACTAAAACAAAATAAATATAATAGTTTAGGTTCTAAACATATAATTTACCCAAACAATATTGCATCTAATAATTCTCTCTCATAATTCTAAATGTTAAAACATGCTAATATTTATTAAATAATTAATCATCGTGAAACTTAATTCCATAATACTTATTGACTAAAATAAATATTTATTTATCAAACAAACTCAAATCTCAAGTAATATTCTATATTTGCTCCAAGGAATCATATTGTGAGGTTATTCATAGATGCAAAGAGGAACTCTCAAAGCCTTTCGATGAAGCTAAAATGTTCTTGACCAACATCAAATCACGGGTAAGTGATCTCTGCAAAGGAACATTGATAAAATCAATGGTACAAAGTTGAGATTCAACCCGGTTAGTATAGCTGGTGGAGCAAATAATAAAGGAAACAGAAGAGTACAAAGTTGAATTCTGTAGGAAGATAAGTATAGCTGTTGAAAATCACAAAGCATCCAACAGAGATAAGGAGAAGGTGATGGATCAAAGTCACAATTCTTATACTACCATGTTATATTTGAAATTTGCAGTTTAATATCAATTAAGGAGTCTAACTCGGTAGTTTAGGTGCTGAACTGGTTCGATACTCCCCACACGTTGCCTGCTTCTTATACTAATTGTTTTGGCAGCATGACAATAATTAAATATTTAGGTGGTCGGATTGAAAAAATTAAAAATTTGATGATCAAAATAAAAAATGACAATAGTTAAGTGGTCACATGTATAATTTACACCAGTTTATCGCCTATAAATCCAGCGCCTTCATCTTTATGTGCACAGAGATATTTGAGTTGCAATCTAACTATGGCACCATTTCATTCATTCCCAGCAACATCGACTATTCTAATATTTGCTTTTCCACTATTACTACTCTCTCTTTCCTATCTTCTATGGATATCAAAAACTGCCTCAAAAAATATAAACAAGAGGAAAATAGCACCAGAAGCTGGTGGAGCATGGCCAGTTATTGGCCACCTTCGTCTCCTCAGAGGACCACAACCACCTCACATATTATTGGCTAACATAACCGACAAATGTGGAAGTATCTTCACCAGCATCAAATTGGGTTTGCGTAGAGCTTTGGTGGTGAGCAGTTGGGAGATCGCTAAAGAAAGTCTCACCCTAAACGATAAAACGTTTGCCGCTCGTCCAAAGCTATAAAACATGGAACATTTGGGCTACAAAAATGCCATGATTGTCTTTGCGCCTTATAGACATTATTGGCGTCAAGTACGCAGGTGTGCTACGATCGAGCTCCTCTCAAATCACCGATTCGACTCGTTTAAGCACGTTCGGGAATCCGAGATCAAGATATCGATGCAACAGTTGTACCAGCTCTGTAATAAGAATACATTGGTGGATATGCAGAGATGGTTTAGAGATTTTACTCTTAACGTGAGTATGAGGATTATTGTAGGGAAGCTAGATGAAATGCTGAAAAGGAAGAAGCCATTGAACGACTTCTTTGAAGCAGTGGGAAAGTTCGTGGTATCCGATGTGCTGCCGTTTCTGGGATGGTTGGACATTGGTGGAGAGAAGGGGTCCATGAAGAAGATTGCTAATGAATTGGACCAAGTTGTAGAAGAGCACAAGTGTAAGAGAGATGAAGATGAGGCAAACAGTGAGCGGGATCTCATGGGACTGTTGCTTTCTATTCTTCGTGATGCAGAGGAGCGCGATCCAGATACGATCAACAAAAGCAACTATTTGACGTTGAACGCTCACTTGACATTCATATGGTGCTCAAACTTGAAAAATATTAATAATTCATTCACCACCAAGATCGTTTGATTTTTAATAGTTTAATTATAAAAAAAGTTGAAATTATATATATTTTTACTTTAGATATCTATTTTTTCCTTTAAAATAAGTGTGAAAACTTTCATTTTGTCATTTAAAGTCAATATTGTTACATTCAATATTATAAATACAAGCTTGCCCATGCTACTATTAAACTATTTTGGAGATTCATTATTGATCTTTTTATGGTCATAATTTAATAGGCTCTCGTATTAGCGGCGGAAGATACCACCTCGGTTACAATGACATGGGCTTTATCTTCATTACTCAATAATCGTCATGCATTGCACAAGGTTCAACATGAACTCAACATCCACGTCGGTAAGGATCGACTGCTAGTGAAATAATCAGACACCAAAAACTTAGTGTACCTTCAATCCATCATTAATAAATGCTACGTCTATGTTGAGAAGTTGAATAAGAAGAAATGAATAGCATCTGTTTTTTTTTTATGATTGTTTTACTGTAACTATAGCACAACTAGTTTATATAGTAGTCATGACTTCAAGCTTACTCAATTTCACAACTACTTGTAACAACATCCATAACAAACTTCTTACATCACTATTCTTAACAACCATAACAACTTACACACACAGTAAAACTCACTCAATGCACACATTAGCATTCTACACAATCCAATAGTCTATACCCTGCTGCTCCACTCTCCTTGGTTCATGAAGCCATTGAAGACTGCACAGTTAATGGATATCATGTTTCAGCTGGCACTTGGCTTATTGTCAATCTTCGAAAGATTCATCACGATCTGCTCGTATGGGATGATCGTTTCGAATTTCGACCCGAAAGATTCATGACTAGCCACGGAGACGATGTGAGAGGACATAATTTTGAACTGATTCCGTTCGGAAGTGGTAGAAGAATGTGCCCGGGAGTTTCATTTGCGTTTCGAACCATGCAACTTACACTGGCTAATGTATTGCACTGGTTCGAGTTTGAGACCCCTTCGAGTGAAGTAGTCGATATGCGTGAAGCAGGTGGAGTGACGAGTCCTAAAGTAACTTCACTGCAAGTTCATATACCTCCACGTCTTCCTGTTTTTCTTTACAATTCCATAGACTAATTGGTATTGCTAAGTTTGACTTGTAATAATATATATATATATATATATATATATATTAAGTTTGTATAATTAATCATCAGTCACATATCTAAAAATAATTTTGAGGGTGAATATATATTTATTAATCACATAAAATTTTTGTATGAATAAAAATAAATAAAATTTCAGGTAGTTATATATATATATATATAAACTTATAATTAAGTTGTATAACTAGTCATCAGACACAGATCTAAAATTAGTTTTGAGGGTGAGTATATATTTACTAATCACATAATTTTTTTATATGAAATAAATATAAATAAAATTTTAGATAGATTCAATTAGTAAAATAGATCACTAATTGAAAGAAATTTGAATTAAATGTCTATTCTAACATAAACGTGCATTTTTCAATGTTTATCACTTTCATAATTTTTAAAATTTATATTGAAAATACTTACAATTTAGGTGATGTCGCATCATATATTATTATCATATTGATTAAATAAAAAATTTAAAAATTAATACATAAACAACTTACAAGAAAAGAGAGAATAAAGTGATTTTTAAAGTAAAAATAAAAAATGAGAGTGGAAAATTGAAAATAATTAATAATTTGGTTACTATTGGTGTAATTTAGCCCGATAAGATGCATACTCTAACCCTTTTAAGAGAAACCTTGCCCTTATTTCTTCACGAAAAAGCCAGGTTAATTTGCAGTCTTTGCTGTTCCCGCTTCTCAAGCTTGAAGCTTCTCCGATCGGGCAAAAAAAAGAAAAAAAGAAAAAAAAGAGAACAAACAGAAACTGAGAAGAGCAAAGGAAAGGGAAGGATAGAATGAAGATAGAAGAGGTTCAATCAACGGCCAAAAAGCAGAGAGTCGCTACTCACACTCACATCAAAGGCCTTGGTCTCGATGTATTCACTTCATTCTTTCCCTCCCTCCCTCTCTCTTTTTTTATTTTATTTTATGTATTTTTCTCAGCTGAAATTATTATTTTTTATTTTCTTTGTATATATGCAGCGTTGTTGTAATTGTGGGCATTCTGAAATTTCTTTTTTGTTTTAAGCGATGGAAAGTTACCTTTCCCCCTGAAACCTTTTCTGGATTTTAGGGTTTTAAGATAAAGTACTGAAATTTCTGTTTAATTATTGGAATTTATTGTTTGCTTTTGGATTTGGGTTGGGTTTTGTATACCTACAAGTCTTAGAATCGATAAAGTATAGTTTAAATTTAATTTAATGTCCTGAGATGGAGATAATAGTATATTTTGAATGAATTTTAGTTAATTCTAAACTAATGGACTATGGAAAGAATTGACTGGTTCTTGAAGTAGGTTGTTATTGATTTTATGCTTTTATAATGCATATTAGAGTTGAAGAAGTGGGTTTTATCAATTTATTTTCACCATCAAGTTCCATGGAAAAGCTTGTACTTGTAATGGAAAGCTAGAAACTTCTAATTATCTTCTCACATATATTTTTCTTTCGTTCACTTGTTGTTTTACTAGAAAAATTGCAATGCCCTCCCTAACTTTCCTTTTCTTACCAGGTCAGTGGAAATGCCATTCCTTTAGCTGCAGGATTTGTTGGTCAAGCAGAGGCAAGGGAAGCAGCCGGTCTGGTGGTGGATATGATAAGGCAGAAAAAGATGGCTGGCCGTGCACTTTTGCTGGGTGGGCCTCCTGGTACTGGGAAAACAGCTTTAGCCTTAGGAATATCCCAAGAACTTGGGAGCAAGGTTCTCATTGCGTTTTCCCTTTATTTTATGAATGTCCTTCATATTTGGCATTATTAGTTGTCCAGTTCTTTTGGAGGGAATGCCAGATTTTGTATATATGTATTCCTCTTCCTTTTATGCAGGTTCCGTTCTGTCCAATGGTTGGATCTGAAGTATACTCATCAGAAGTAAAGAAAACAGAAGTTTTGATGGAAAATTTCCGACGGTCTATTGGTCTACGGATCAAAGAAAATAAAGAGGTCTATGAAGGAGAGGCAAGTTTTATCTAATGACAGTTCTTTGTCCCTGATTTTATGTGATTGTTTTCTCTTTGGATTAGGGATAAAGCCTGATTCCTGGCTGGTCTTCTTTCAGGTTACTGAACTCTCTCCTGAAGAAACAGAGAGTGTAACAGGTGGTTATGGTAAAAGCATTAGCCATGTTTGGATTGAAAACTGTCAAAGGAACAAAACAACTGAAATTGGACCCTACTATTTATGATGCCTTGATTAAAGAAAAGGTAGGCTGTGAGCTTTATAGTTTCTCTGCATTATCATTTGGAAAAGGTTGTTCAAGTTTTCATTTTCTGACTTCTTGAAACCTGTAGGAGGCGCTACAGTGTGCTAAAATATCCGTCTCTTTACTCTGGAGACCTTTTGACGTCTAACTTTTTTCCGCCTAAGAATTTTGGCTTCAATTTGACTGGCAGGTTGCTGTTGGAGATGTTATATATATTGAAGCAAATAGTGGAGCTGTCAAAAGGGTGGGCAGAAGTGATGCTTTTGCCACAGAATTTGACCTTGAGGCAGAAGAATATGTGCCGCTTCCCAAAGGAGAGGTTCACAAAAAGAAGGAGATAGTGCAGGTTTGTTTCAACCCACTGAGATTATGCTTTCTCTGTGTTTCCCTTGGCATTTATTCTGTAGTATAATCTGATTGGCCTTGATGACTTCTTTCTGCTCATATTTTACACTGATGGCCATGGACATTCTGTGGTAACAAATTTTGTTTGTATGTATTAAATGACTATTATTATCATGCCTTTTGTTGCATGTGAGAAGTGAGGATTTTTTTCTGAATCTTCTTACTAACAATTTGCCAATTACAAAATACTATTCATTTTGCTTAAGAGCTACAACGGAACAACCCACTTGATAAAGAAAAAAGGGAAAAATGCAATGAATTTGCTGCCTTCTACATTTGCTTGATATGTTACAAATATGGCTTTGCTGGGCTTAGTCCCGTTTGCCTCTCTCTAGTTCTAAATTTATATGTTTTATAACCATGTTGAAATTCATTAAAAAATATTATATTCTATTTTCTCCACCAGGATGTAACACTACATGATTTGGATGCTGCCAATGCACGACCACAAGGGGGGCAAGACATATTATCTCTAATGGGTCAGATGATGAAGCCCAGGAAGACTGAAATCACTGACAAATTACGACAAGAAATAAATAAGGTATTATTTCCAAACACATTTGGCATCCAACTATTTGATGACTTAATTTTTTGGAAAATCTTTGGGATTACCCTTTTACAGATGCTGTAATTTTTGACGGCAATAGCCATTAGTAGTAGTAGTACTGTAAAATTTACTTAACTCCATATGTATCTTATTTTTCTCGTTAAGTTTTGACGTGGTTTATATAGGTCTCCTGAATCATATGGTAGGATCATTATATTTTAAAATCTACGGAAAACAATATGCTTTTATTGAATAAGTTTAAGATGTTCCTTAATCTGTTTCTCATTCATAATATTGCTTGAATTTGTGATGTATTTTCATTACTGTCATGGTTTCATATAACTAGTTTATTTTTTCTTCATGCCTTTTTGTTGAGTAAATTCTCAAATCCTAATGGTTTAGATACTACTTTAAGAGCATAACTCTTTAGTTTGTCGGTGGTTTAATCCTAGTATGCCCCTGTTATTATATTGTCCCTAAAAGCTATAGCTATCCTACTTGGTTGTGACTTTACGAGTCAAATGGGTTGCTTATTCAATTTTGACTTAGGCCTCTACGCTAATTTTTTTTACGAAAGATGGTATTCACTTTTAATTGAAATAACAATGTTTTTTATGACAGGTTGTTAACCGTTATATTGATGAAGGTGTTGCAGAGCTTGTTCCAGGAGTTTTATTCATTGATGAGGTCTTGTCCTTTACCTGAGCTCTTTCCAGCTTATCATGTCCTTAGATGAATGGATACGATTTATGTTTTCTGTGTGTGTGTGTGTGTGTGCATACATTTAGACCTAAGATATTTGTTACGACCTACACATGCTCAAGCGCATTTGCACATCGGGCATGCTTATGTTTTCCAAGTCATGGTTTGCAGGTTCATATGCTGGACATGGAATGTTTTTCATACTTGAATCGTGCTTTAGAGAGCTCACTATCTCCTATAGTAATTTTTGCTACAAATAGAGGAATATGTAATGTAAGGTAATGAAAATTGTTTTTGAGATGTTGAAATATTTGTTATATCCGCTTTTCTTTCTGTTTCATCTAAAAGGAAGTATGTAATTTGAACTTGAATACAAGATGAGCTATGACTCATATCATCATGACTTAGTTTCATTACTTCACATCCTAGCGAAACAATTCATTGGGTTAGTCTTGGAATACAGAAATAGCTTGATGCAACAATAATGTATACCTTGGAAGGATTCAAAATTTTGGCTCTCATGATAGATGAGCAATGGTAGGATAAACCTAAATCAGATACAAATTTTAAGATGTTCCTAGAAAATTTAGTTCATAATGAGGAACAGTGACGGGGTTAGCATAGATGTTCATGTTCCAGGCATGGAATTAAAGAATCAAAATATGAGTCATATTCTGCAAGATGTATTTTTTTAAATGCCCAAAGATGAATTTCATGGTAATTGTTATATTTTTGGGTTAGCACAGTTTTAACATGTTCATGATATTTTGATTCTAGTTTCTGAAAAATGTATATTTTTGTAGGGGTACTGATATGAATAGTCCTCACGGCATTCCTGTCGATTTATTGGACAGATTGGTTATTGTCCGCACTCAGATTTATGGTCCTGCTGAAATGATACAGGTTACTTTTTGTCATAATAATTATATCAATTGTAGCGAGCATCAAATGAAAATCTGCCTAAAGTTGTCACTTTCTTGTGGTCTGCAGATACTAGCCATCCGTGCACAGGTGGAAGAACTTATTGTGGATGAAGAAAGTCTGGCATTCCTTGGAGAGATTGGACAAAGCACATCTTTAAGGTAAGGCTTAGAATTTAGTTTTACTCTAATATCAAGTGCCCTCATATATCAGAAGCATACTTACAAGTTTCTACTTCTTCAGGCATGCAGTTCAACTGTTATCACCTGCTAGCATTGTGGCAAAAATGAATGGCCGAGACACCATTTGCAAGGTAATTAACTATTCAGAAGCGACTGTTCTTCGTTATTGTTCTTTTATCATTAATGCAAGGAGTAAATCTGTTTTTATTTATAGGCGGATCTTGAAGAAGTAAGCGAGCTATACATAGATGCCAAGTCTTCAGCGAAAATTCTTCAAGAGCAGCAGGAAAAATTCATTTCATGATAATCATGTTTAATGTTATACTTTCTTCTTCCCCTGCTGTTTTAGCTTGAATTTGTTGTGCATTCCTGCACTTTGTTTTGAGTAAGCCCCCTTTTCAATTGATAGGTATAGAAAATTGAAGGGTCTAACCTTTAGGGCACTGCTTTGGTTTGTGGATTGATCGTTAGTAATGTGAAATGCAAGATGAGTAAGATTATTTGTTGATTTGCTCGAGACATGTGCTGGGGTTTTGTTCTTTAGATTCTGCCGAGAGCACAGCGCTGAAGACAATTCGGTTGAAGGGAACTTGAACCTATAAAATTATCCATCAATCAAAACATTTTAATCTTCTAAATCATAACCACTTTCTATAAAATGAAACACGAAAATATCAGTAAAATCCCTTAAAAAGTGTCATATTAGCAATAATTGTTGATTATCAATTTTTATTCAAGAAATAATCATTTTCATCAAAATTAAAATATGTTTTAGAAAAAGTCACATGATTACTCTGTTAAATATTTAATATTATTTTTAAGAAATAATCGTTTTCATTAAAATTCGGTTCAGAAGTGATCACCCTAAGGAGTACGCTAGAAAAAATATCACATTATCGAGGTCTACACGAAGGTGTAATCATTAAAGGAGTACCTTGAATTGCCGTGATGGCTTTATCACTAACGTCAAATGGACACCCTATGTGTCCTTTCAGTTGTCCCAAGTTTCAAAAACAATCCGACATCACGTGACTTCCCCTTCCATACGCAAAACATAACTCAGAAACAAACATGACAAGTTTCGAACTTCAAAAACCCAAATCCAAAAGCCAAGGCAAAGCCAAGCACAACTTTTAACGTCTACCCCCACCCTCGAAGCAAATGCAAACCAAAAACAGGGGAGAAGGACAAGTTTGTGTTGTTTCTTTGGGTGGATGATGATGAATACGGCAGGTGAAGGAGTTTCAAGAGAAACCCAAGTGTCTATACACGCCTCTTCAATGTTTCCAGGCTTTAGATTTTCACCAACTGATGTTGAATTGATCTCTTATTACTTGAGAAAGAAGCTCCATGGCTATGATAAGTGTGTCGAGGTCATCCCTGAGATTGAAATTTGTAGATACGAGCCTTGGGACTTGCCAGGTTAACTTCTCCTTTTAACGATGGAACTTTTGTTTATGTGTTCATCACTGTTTTCTGTTTTTCCTTTGCAAAATCAACGGGCAACCCAACAGGGTTATTGGAAAGCCACAGGGAAAGAACGGAATGTCAAGTCCGGCTCCAATGTGATCGGCACCAAGAGGACGCTCGTGTTCCACACCGGTCGCGCACCGAGAGGCGAAAGGACCGAGTGGATCATGCATGAATATTGCATGAATGGAAAATCCCAGGTACATTGCAGGTGTCAAGTTCCTTGTTCAACTTTTGATTTGAGCTCGATAGTTTAATTGGCTGATGTTTGACATTTTTAGGATTCCCTAGTTGTTTTCCGTCTAAGAAAGAATGGCGAGTTTCGTCTGAATAACAACTCGAATCGTGGTAATCGGAATCTATCGATCATGCACGACAGAAACCATGCTGCCTCGGATGGTAGAATCGACCTGACTGGCTTGTGTGAAGGGGAGAAGACACCCGAATTATACTCAAAGAAGGCTACTAGCAGTAATGATTATCATTCTATAGAGCAAATCGATTTTGCGTCCAACTCCGAGCAAAAACTCTCGAACGATGTTGGACCGACTGAATCTTCTACACACAACAAGGTTTGCTAATCAACAAGATTATTGGTTTTAACTCATAATCATCATGCATTCAAACTCGAATTCATACATTTTTTTCTAGGATTCTGATGAGGAAGAGGATTTCTTCTCTGAGATACTGAAAGATGACATAATAAGGCTTGATGAAACTTTATTGTCTACCCCAACACCAGAGATCCTGCAACAAAATGCACCCTACCATATATCCTTCTACTGGGGCGAAGCGAACGGGACAATCAAACAGAGACCAGCTAAAGGAGATACAATCGGCGCTGCCAATGTGTCGGAACATGGCTTCGATGAGACATCGATTGAGAAACGATTGAGTTCTCGAATGTCTGAGGAATCATCAAAATGTATGGTATCTCCATTCTCATCGAATTCCGCGATTTTAGTCATCCTGATCACTTTAATGGCTTTGCTTCTGCAATTTATAAGATGTTGCGAGTTAAAAACCAGCAAAATAGTTCAAATATGATGCGTTCTACTGGAGTTTCTGGCAATGAATAGTGTGTGTATAATCACGTTTTACTGGAAATTGAGAGCCGTAAAGCTTATGCGTTCATAGTTCAGGCCATTTGAGTATTTCATCAATGACTTGTGTATCTTGGAGAGTAAGAGAATTCAATTTGGTTAGCTTCGTCATGAATTTTAAAATTGCATTCAAGAACATAAATATATTGCTCAACCGTTATTCAAATCAAATATTAAAAGCTTTTTAATAATAATTTCGTTTCATTTTTTTATTAACAAAAATATTATTTCACGAATTCTTCTTATCAATTTATTGATGATATCAACCACTAACAATCATCCATTTCACTTACTTTTTTCTCGTATTTTTTTATTAGTTATAAAGTAACACTTTAGTTAATTGATGATAAATGTATGCATACCCTATAGACACAAAATTGATATTTTTAGATTTTTAAATGTTGATAATAAATTATTTAAATTTTAAAATAAATTTATAAATTTAAAATTAAAATTTACAATTAAATGGACTTTTTAATGAGTAAAATTAAAACGTGGTACAAACCCAAATCGAAGGAAGGAAATAAGTAAAGTCCGAAAGCCCAATCCACAAATTTTGACTTCATTCGTTTTCTATATGGAAAGATGAAAATTAACTCTTTCTTCGATGTATAACGACAGCAACTCAAATCAATCCCGGAAAAGAAAGCTCAGAACTCTCACAAGAAGAGTCGCAAATGTGTTCTGATCGATCATGAATTTAGGGTTTTCTAGTCAACTTTGATCTGTAAGTTTTCCCCCACTTTTTCATCTTTCCTTTTCAATTTAGGCATTTTCTTCATTTCTTCCAATATTTTGGTTGAAGAAAGTTAAGGGTTTTTAGCTGAATTTGATCCTTAAGAGTTACCTTTGAGATATTTAATTGTTAGGAGTCAGTTTATATGAAATTACTGCATTTACTTTACTTATATCGACTCAATTTTATTTTTTAGTTTGATCGATTGGATTAATCGCATATCACATGATTACGGTGACGGCTTTTTAGTTTAGGGTTGGTTTCAATGAACGTTGAATGTATTTTTTATTTTTATTTTTGAATTTACAGGTTTCAAAAGAGTATTAGAGAACAATGTCGAGACCAATGTTACTTGTTTTCCTATTCATTATGCTCATAATCACCTCACAGTTTGAGTGGAGACAGCCACTTGTTGTAGATACTGACATGGCCCCGATTGCATCCCAGAAGCATCAACAAGTTTCTAGGAGGGAAGAAGCTGTGAAAGAAAAGGTGACACGCCTTGTACTTTTTTGAGTTCTAATAAAATTTCATCTTTCCTTGACAGTAAACATTTGAATAATGAGATTAGATTCATTGAAATGCATATGTTTTATTTAACATACCATATGTATAGTCATGTAAACTTATGCTGAATTGCAAAATGCAAAGCCCTTTTTATCTGTAATCTTTTCACTTTCTAATTGGCTTGCTAACGTTGGTTTATTCAGTGTAGAAAGTTAGTTGTAAAAGTAAAACAAGATGTTTTTATACCCTTATTTAGCAATTTCTTTTCTGTAAGCAACCCTCTTCAATATTTTGTTTGAGTTTTATCTTTATTCAAGACTTATGTCTGCTCAGAGAATGGTACAGGATCGGTGTACTTTATAAGTAGTCGTTGAATGCTTTTAATTCTGGCATAAATTTTTGCCTTGTGAGCTTGTTTTTGTTTGTGTCAATGACGAAGTTCTTGTTTTTCTCTGTTGTCACTTCTGTTGGCTAGCATTATTTTTTGTTTTTGACACTGATCATGATGTTCTAATCAACACATTCACATTATTTAGAAGGAACTGTGCTATTTCAAACTCTGTAGGCCAAAAGGCATGAACTAGGGACTTGGAAATATTTGCCTTTGGTAGCCAATTATAATGTGTCTTGTCTTGATCTTCATTTTCCGCCAGCTGTTCAACTTCTGATTGACTTCTAGTGGTAATTTGTCACTCATTGCAGATCATCCTATCACAAGAGAAGAAGATTCAGAGACTTAATGAACTTGTGCGGAGTCTTGAGCTGCAACTGTTGCGGTGCAAGGGCAATAACAAGACAACAAATGACACTGTAAGCCATTTGACTGAACATATTCTTGAGCTTGAGAGGAAACAGATCTTGGAAGACTAGGCTATTACATCTTAAAACATATGCTCTGATTGCCGTGCATTGAAGTTGTAAAATCATTCTTTATCCATGTAAGTTCGAAGTTACATTTGTTGTAAGTTATATTTTTTTTTCCTCGTATCCACTCCACCGCTTTTGGAAGGAATCGATGAAGCTATGAATGGTATAAATCATCCATTTTACAATCCATAGTCCTTGCTAAGTACTGCTCATATTTGACTCAGCTACTTGGAAACTAATTTTCTGGTGTTCTATATTGTATTAGAATTATTAGCACCTTTAGCTGATTGAGAACTAAAAACAAAACCCTATGATGAGATACATGGTGTAGATAGTTGGCTCAGTCTGGGCCTATTTTAGAAGTGCAAGTAGTTAACTTGGCTTTTGCCAATATTGGATTACCAGACCTATTCGATTACTATGACAGGGCTGACTTATCATTTTCTTGGTATCGTCAACCTGATTATAACCTTAAAAATCACCATTGCCCACATAGATGCGGATAACAAATGTTATCTCCAAGTGTGGGAGTACCTTCTTTCTTTCTGCTATTAAAAAACAAGTGTGAATTCCCTACCAATCTGTAGTTAGAAGATGGGGTTAGAAGAATTTGCTTAAGATGTAGTTACATACCTTGAAATTCTACCTTTTAAAAGAAATTTTCTTAGAGAAATGCCTTAGAATGATGTAAACTTACTATCGTTTCTAATTTATTTGGTATATTTTCATGCTACGTGACATGATTTTGCAAATAGGCTTGACATGTTTGTTTCTCATGCATTGATTAGAGAATTGGATCCAGCAGCTTTGCTCTGTATTCTCTCCTTTATATCTTGCTTCAGAACGCCTTATATGTTGTGCTGTAAGCTGAGACGAGAGCTTCTGCATTCAAACATACATGCATTCATTAGTCTTCTGGTTATGCATGCACCGGCACGAACAGAGACTCAGCTGTTGTGCACCGGATGTATAGTTAACACGATATATTGCTTCAGCTTACCTATAATGTGTAGGGCTTTAAGCAGAAATTTCGAACTACTGCATCTGCATATGCTTATGACATTTTAAGAAGAATATTTGAGATTCCGCATGGTTTTGAGAAAGTATTTTACATAAAATTTGAATTTTTTTAGTTAAAAAATAATAATTTTGCCATGATCATTCCTATTATGATCGTGTAACTTGACACTATCATATGTAATTTCCTGCACAAGATTGTAAGTTTAGATTCTAATTAGAATTTTATAAGGTACTTGTAAAAATGTACAATACTAGTTCATATCATATTTAATCTTAAAGATTAAAATTTAATTATATATTTGGACATTAGAATTCAATTTTATCTTTTATAGTATTTAAACATCTAGATTTAAATCTCATCATATGTAAATATTATGTGTAGGTTCTCAAACTCATAATTATTCAAATTTATGTTTCATTGTGTATAAGTAGAGGTGTTCAAACGGTTAATTTGACCATTGACCGAAACGGATTTCCATTAACTGAATTAAACGAAATTTTTTAACCGTTAACCGAACCGAATTATTTTTTGAAAATATTAATTGAATCGAACAAAGTTCGGTTATATCGGTCTGTGAATTGAATTAATGGAAAATTTTTTATAATTTTTTATTAGATTAATTTGAATATAATAGAAGTATTTTTTTTATTTAGGTTAAAATTTTAATTAGGTATTGATAATTTAAAGAGTTTAATATGGTTAAAAAATAATTGAGTCTTAATTCTTAATGAGTTTGAGCTTGAAATATGTATTTAACATATTTAACATATTTAATAATTTCAGTTAATTAATAGATTTCGAACTGAATTAACCATTAATCGAATATTGAAAAAATGTTAACCGTTCTTCGATTGAATTAATTCGATGGCCGGTTGAATTAACTGAACTAATTCGATCCTATCGGTTAATTCGGTTAAAACCGAAAAATAAACACCCTCAGTCTATAGTTGTTCTAAAAACTCGTATAGTCGTATATATTTAGGTTAATTATCTGTCTATCAATTTGTGTACTGTAAAAATTTATAATGAATTTATTAATTATAATTTAATTTGTGTACTTATCATATCATACGATAGATTAATTATCATTGTAATTGTAGTTTTAAAAAATAAAATTAAGGATCACACGGTCTTGTATCGATGACGCATCATTACAATTTATTAAGAATATATATATATATATATTTATTTGGAAAAGACAAGATGATCAATAATTATAGATGGGTTAAAATATCGAGAAGTTTTTGGTTGATTATAGTAAAGGGTGGTTGATAGATCCATTATTTAATGATAAAGTAGTAATAACCATAATGTTCATAGCTAAACATCATAAAATTTCACCGTTTCCTTACCCTTTTTAAGGACAATATGCCCTAAGAAATAGGTACGTATACAAATATGTATTGTTTGGATATAGAGAGAAAAATAGTGAGGGAAGTTAAAATATTTAGTATTTAATTCATTAATAAACTAGGAATGGGGTTTCTTGAGAGTAGTTGCAAAGCTCTCAAGTTTGCCCCAAATAAGGTGGCGGGGTGCCGTGAAACCCTTTGGAATTCTTTACCAGCTTGTTTAATTAAGGTTTGTCCCAGCATGGATGGATGGAAGATCATGTACAAACAAATGATTTTATGCGAGGGACAAATTTATAAAATTTTAAGTATGAGAGAATTTATAAAATTTAGGAGTAGATTTTATAAAACATATTTTTAATAGAAAATATAAAAAATATCTAAAAATATATAGAAATTTGATTTTTTTTAGAGGGGCAACTGTCTCACCTACCCCTATCTATGTCAATCTTTGTGTAGGATTTTATTCTAAGGGAATGAACTTATAAAATTTTAGCATGTGACGAACTTATAAAATTCTAGAGGCAAAAAAATTATTAAAAAATATAAAATATTTAATAATTTTAAAATTTTAAGGGAGTGTCTGTCCTTAACCGTCCCTTTCAATTATTATTGATCCTAACTAGGGTGGTGGGATGCAGTGAAATCCTTCACCTAGCTTGTTTAAAGTTAGACATTCAAATAGATTATGAAATATATATATATATATATATATATATATATATATATATGTGTGTGTTATTATTTGATATAAAATAAATTTTCAAATAGTATTATAAATATTATTTTAAGAAAATAAAAAATTGACAATATCTCAATAATATTTATGATGATTATTACTTTATCTCAATAATACTTAAAATTATTAATTTTTATTAACAATGTATCATATAATAGTCTTATATATAATATTATTAGAGTTGGTCTCTTTGGTTTCTCGGTGATTGTTCGAACATAAACTAGATATGAGATAAAGTAGTAGATTGAATTGAATGCTTATTTAAACAATACTTTTTTATTAATCATGAAAGTAAGTTGATAATAATATAAAATATTTAAAAACTTATATTCTTATATTAAACTAATTTATTGTATTACTTTCTTTTTCCAAATAATTTCATATGACTTATTTTAAAAAAAAATAACCATGTGCTGACGTTAGATGCATACATTGGCATATATCATTTAAAAAACAACTTTGTTAATTATCTGAAATAATTCGCTTTATTCTTTTTTATATGAAATGTTTACTATATTTATCAAATTATGTATAAAAATGTGATAAATATAATATAATATTAAAATTAACTTACACAAAGTAAACCTCTTCTAATTTTATACAGATTTAAGAGGATAAGTTGGATAAGTAAAAGCACATAATTCAAAGATGTTATAAATAATTTAACCATTATTTTAAGTATTTGGGCATGATCCAATCTCATCCCATTAATGTACAACACTGTTAAATGTGCTCCACTATATTAAGTGAAATTTGTAGGTTTAATTGAAAGCACGAGGGGGAGAACTATTAAGAATGTCAATGGTACATCCCACTAAAACCGCTTTGGTATTTAAGAGTGATTTTGTGCATATTATAACATTTTCTATTTTTTTTAAAATAAATTTTAATATGACTAACACGAAACTCAACTGAAAATAAGTGAAATAATTGTTGTGCTTTTCGTTGAAATATAACGTTGGCGCCGCCGCTAGAGGAAGTCGGGTCTTGCAGGTTATGATGAAGTGTTAAAAAGATCATCCCGAATATATTGATATAAATAAATTAAAGAATTTAAATTTTGATATTTATAAATAGAATAAATTAAGTTAAGAATATTACTTTTACGTTTACAATAATTGATATAAATTAATTAATTAATAAATTAGATATCGATTATTATACAAAGAAAACATACCAAGAAGCTTCTTTCTTTATTTTCAGGTCCACTAGGCGTCATGGATTCAAAGGAAGATCAGGTACGAGCATAGTGACAGTGTTGTCTATCTTTGGTTAAATCAGAATGGAAGCGTACGCCAAGTTTGATCATTTGAATGATTATGTAAAGTTCAGTGTTAAGATGTTTTTAAGTTAATTGTTTGGGTTTAGTGGAGGACGAAAAATAATTTTCAACATATTTTTTTATTAGAGTACAATACTAATTATTACTTTTGAAAATAATAATTTTATCCATCGTCAAATTATGAATACAACTTATAATATTTTTACTTTAATTTCATGATAATTTAATACATATGACACATGTAACATAATTGGTCACTTTATTTTATAATATACTTTGTGATAATATTATACATTATACATACGTATTCACAATTATAAATTTTAATCTCACGTAATTTAATTTAAAGTATTACAACTTTAAATTTTAAGTCATTACAAAATTAAAAACTGCAATATCTTCGTTACCAATTGAAACACTGAAAAATTTTATACTCATGTCAAATTCTTAATTAAGTTTCGTATCACGACAAATTATCAAACATCAACTTAGATAATACACAAATTTATAGGAAAAAACAATTTATTATTAAGGTTAAATAAATAAAATACTTTTTTTTAGAAAAATCAAATAAAAACCATTTCCTCACTTTTACTCAGGCATTTTTTATGATAAGTGCTTACATTTATCAATAAAAATTATATTTTTTTTTCAAAAAATAACCATTACTTAAATTACTTTTTGTTTTACATTTTATCCTAAATTTACAAACGTAACGAGTATATCATACGATCAGTAATATTTTTCAGCAACATAGGGAATAGTGGCAGGGACGGAACCACGTTATTGCCCCTCCCAACTGATTATATTTTGTTGTCAAAATTAATTAATTAATGAATATTTTTCATAGTTCGGGCAACTTTTTTTTTAATTAATTACTAGTATCCGATCTATTGACCGACTAATCCAGATCTAGTACTGCAGAGGTGAGGGTGATCATTCCAACCCAATTTGCTCCATTTGGAAAACGTCAGAATTTGAACCCCTGACGTTGCTTAAGAGATCTAGTGTCTCATCCCACTAGACCAACTGATTGTTGGTAGTTCGGGCAACTATTAAATTGCAATTAATCCTCCATTATTTTTTACTTGTTTCCTAAGCATACATCCACATAATAATACTTTGGCAACGCAAATTTGATGCCATACAACCTTTCTAGACAATTTGGCATTAGTTAATTGTTTAAAATATATAAATATAACTCTTTAATCCAGCAGTTGAAATCGGTGTACGCTGTGAAACCATCTTAATAAGGTAGTTGAAAATTCCTTTGTCTAAAAGAACTGGCAGTTGTAAACACAAATTGTTCTAAACAATATCAAGATACGCCACCTAAATTAACCACCACCCCTTTACTTTCACCCATTGCATTAATATTTTACCTTTTATTCCTTCGAATCCATATCGAATCAAATTTAAACAATTTTTTTAAGAATAATTTATGATGATTATAAGATTGTATCTGTTCAGAATCTTTCTTAGCCATTAATAATGTATACACATCTTACATAAACAATTACTCGAATTCGAGATCTCTAACGATAACAATACTTCATTTTACTATTGATGTCATTCGATGGGTTCTAAATAGGAATTTATTAATTAATTAAATTATTTGGGTTGCTCAACAAAGTTAGCTGAAAACTGTAATTACTTGTGCATATGTCTTAAGGAGAAAGAAAGAACTAAAAACTGAAATTAACTACTATGTTTTTTCCGACATTTATAGCCACTAAATTACTCCTAATTAATTAATTGCTTCCCCAATTCACTAACTATCTTGCGACAGGTCGCTTGCCCAATAATTACTATTTATTTCTTTTCTCTATTTTTATAAACAATGCTTAATATACTTTATTTGTAATCAACTTATTATTAACGTTTGATTTGTGTTTTTTAAGCTCAACTGGTATAATAATTGTCTAGATTATCGATTAAGTAATATTAAATGCAAATTGATTATTATATTTAATAAAAAAAATTAATATATTTAATAACAAATTATTATAATTTTTTTTTCTTTTGTTCTTTTTTCCAGCTAAATGGCTGGATCTAGAACAAATTGGTCAATTTTAATTTTCTTTTTGGCAAATGCATGTTGAAGATTTAAAGTATCATGTGATATATAGATGTATTAATTACGTGATTTTCCCTTTTTAGATTTTGGACCGATGATGTGCAGCTTGGGAAATTTGACTTGAATATGTTTAACAAACATGTGATAAATAAAATGAAAAATATTAGGCATTAATTATGGTGCTATTTACGAAAATTATTTAAATATATTTTTAAGGAGAAGTGATTATATTAAATGTACATGATTTTTTAAAAATTTATAATTAAATTTTTTTGAATAGAGGTAATTATAAGATACTATTGATTACAATTTTTTTAATTAATTGACGTGCATACACTATACACTATAGATGTAACTGCTTGAATTTAGATACTCAAAATTGTTGAAACCTTTTAATAAGTTCATAATTAAATAAATTTTAATTAGGTTTTACGGTGAAAAAATTACATATGAAATATACAGGGACAAAGCCATAATTAAATATTGGAAGGGGCCAAAATATTAGACTATTTAAGAAAAATATAAAGACTTATTAGGTATTTAAACTCGAAATTCAACATGAACCAAACGACCTTAGTGATTAAGGAATTGTTGTTATCCCTTGAGGTCTTGAGTTCAAGCACGTATGTAGGGGTATGAATGTTCATTGTCAAATAATTGAAAGTCTTTGTACATATATTACCTTGTATTAACCCCAAATTAAAAAAAAACCCAAAACTCAAAAGACAACTTCTAATTTGTCTAATATTTAAACTTACAATGACTTAAATTGTAATTAGACAAAAAATTTGAGAATACATACTTATCATTTTTTAGTTTGACCCCTATTTGATTAAATATTTAATAATTTTTTATATTTTTTAAATTTAAATATTTATTTTTATATGTACAAAAATATTATTAAATCAAAATTATACTGAATATATAAATTTTAACAAAGGCCCTTAAGGGAGCTCCATCCCTGGATATATAACAAGTCACCTTCAACTTCAATGTTATCCCAACTTGTTTTGCACCCTAAATTCTCCTTACCCTCCAAGCCTACCCCTTATTCATTGCTAACAAGTAAAAAAGAAAGAAAAAATCCTCAAAATCATTGCATATATAAAGGCCTAAAGCTGTCCAGAAGAGAAATCCAAACGCAATTTCATCTGTTTTTTTTTGGTCCCAAACACGTCAATTTGATAATTGAAGCATTCTAATCAGTTTTTCACGTAGGTGAATTATGTATCTTTTTAATCAGTTTTCGGTTTTTCATTTTAGCTGACTGTTGAATCCATTTTTATGTTAGGAATTTATAAGCGGAAAAATAATGAGTGGAAGAGCAAGCAGTCCAGAGCTGGAATTGACGCTGAACTTATCACCGCCAAGGGCGCCTACCCTACAAGTCGGGTCCCCGAACACGTCGGTTTCCTCCTGGGAAACGTCGTCGGAGAGCTCGTGCGTGTCGTCGGAGCCCGACAACCAGACGACGATGGTGCAATATCCGAGTAGCCCCGAAGAGACGTCGATGATGCTGTTGGGATGCCGTCGATGCTTCATGTATGTTATGTTGTCGGAAGTGGATCCCAAGTGCCCTCGATGCAAGAGCACCGTGTTGCTTGATTTCCTTAACGAAGAGAATAACAAAAAGACAAGGAACTAGATGAACAATAATATCCAAAATTGTTCTTCTTTCTTTCTTTCTTTCTCCTAAAACAAACAACTTAATTCTCTAGAAACAGTTCCCCCCCCACCCCACCTTTCTGGGGTTTGTTTGTTTGGTTTTAGTTTTTTTTTCTGGGTCTGAATGTTTGAAGTTTTGTGTTAATTACGTATCTTTGTTTCCTTTTTTTCATATTGAGATATTGCGTGGTTTGATTTCCTGTAAGAAGAAGAAAGGGGGAAGATTGCGTTTTCCTTTCTTTATTTTCCCCTTCTGTTTTGGTTTTTAAAGAATTAAAGTATGGGTAAACTAAATTTTAGTCACTCAACAATTAGTACAATTTCCTTTTTAGTCACTTAACTATTTCTTTTTTGTTCGATTGGGAGTGAAATAAAGAATAGTATATTATATAATTCAGTTGAATAAATAGAATATATATATGTAATTGTAATTGGGTAAAGTAGATCAATGATCTCTCGACTATAGGGTGTTGATTTAGTAAATCTCTCGACTATTAAAAGTTACAAAATGATCATTTGATTATAGTGTGTCGTTTTGTTGAGTTTTCGACTATTAAAAGTTACAAAAAAGTTACATGTCTATTCATATATTCCAAACTCGTAATTTTTTGTTAATAAAATTATGGTCATATGAGCTAGATGTTAACCTGCTAACTTAGATATGCTAAAATCTGATCCCAGAATCTCAAACGACCATAATATCTCAGTCAACATATAAACGTTCAACTCAAACAACCATAATTTTTTTTCCTAAAATATGACGAGTTTAAAACATATAAATAGTCAGATAATTATTTTATATTTTTAATAGTCGAGATATTCCAATAAAAATCAACTTCATTTAGAGATTATTCGGGATGAGATTTTCCCGTAAAGGATTTAGAGATAGAAATTTGATTTTCTAGTTCTCTAAGTCTTAATGTTTTGATAGATAAATTCTATCATAATTATTTGATAGAGATTCAATGTCACATCTTTCTAATATATTTGATGTTTTCATTCCAAATTTTGACGTGATTCTCGACATGAACCGATTGGTTGAGTACGATGGTAGGTTGAGATGTTGGACAAAATATCTTAAACTTTGTAGGTCAAAGATGTTAGTTGGGGTGGGGGTGAGGTACTGAATTGTCTCCCTAAAGTAGTTTTAGCGATATCGGCGACGATGATCCAACGTGCTTGTGAGACGTTCCTATATATAGTATGTAATGATTCATTTTTCGTCTGGGCCCATTTAAAAGGTCTAAAGTACAAATAAAAATAATTAAACTCAAAATTATGTAAATATTTATTTATTACAAAATACCAACTTATTGACGTAATACTGATTTTTAAAAAATGAATTAGAAATTTTTAAATAATTATATAAAAATTAAATAATTACAAAAATAAATAAAAACGCATTAACATATTGTTTTAAAATATTAATGGTTTTTGATGCATCAAGCTCAATGTTAGATGAACATTCAAATAAAATTAATCGGAGTGAATTATTTATTTATAAGATAAAAAATACTAATATTATATGATTAAAAAAATAAAAATAACTCGCAAATACTAAAAGGAATCTTGTAGATACAATTTTATTGTTTTTCCCCCAAAATTTTGCAATTTTTTTACTTCTCTTCAGTGTGAAAAAGGAGATGGTGTTGGAAACCTTTATATAAGAGGGAAGACGTATCCAGTAAAAAGCATTTTTTCCCAAAATTTTTAAAATTTTTATTGAAAATCGGAATAAAAAACATATGTATATGATTTTTTTAAAATTTCCTGGGTAAGACACGAATTATAATTTGCCTAGGGTAAAGTCGTGTTTAGGGATGGGCATGAGATTCGAACTTGACGTGTTTCGACTTGACCTGATCGATTCAAATTTTTTTAAAAGTTTCGGGTTCGGGTCAGGTCGGTTTGACTTTAGGATGAAAAATACCTGATCCGACCAAAAAAAAGTATAATTTTACTTATATATTCAGAAATAATTATAATAATACTCATCAATTTATTTATTTATTTTCAATCAAATCATTGTTTTTATTAAATAAAAATAATATTGTTATTATTTCAGGTCGGGTCTGGTTGTGTTCATATTTTATCTCAAAAAGTCAGGTCAGGTTTGGATTGGGTGAAGAGTATATATTTTTCAGGTCGAATAGGGTGAAGGATGTAAATTTTTCAGGTCAGGTTTGGGCCGACCCATGCCCATCCCTCGTGTTTAACTGGGAACGCTTTTGGGTGATCAATTAAACAAGTCTTTATCTTACATGGCTAAAAATACTATATCTTTGAATAATATTTTTAAGGGTAAACTACACATATTAAATCAATTATCATTTTTGTTTCATTTTAGTCATCTAATTATTATTATTTTTAAATCATGTTTAAAATTACGTTTCGGTTTTATTTTGGTCATCCACAATAAAAATAATAATAGAACTATTGACGTAGTATTTTTTTTAAAAAAATAATGATAACATGACATTACCTTATGGTGACACATTAACATCATCATTGATTTTTTTAACGATGAGTAATCAAAATAAAACCAAAACATAATGTTAGGTGTAACATCTCGATTTTCTAAGTCAAAGAGTAAGGGTTGACTCAAGAGATATGTGACCTTGTGGAGTTAGTAATTGAAATTATTTGGCCAAATGTGGGTTTAATTGGATGTAATTTGGGCACGATTGACTATAAAAATGAAATTTTTGCATATAATGTAAAAGAGGAAGGACCAAAAGTGCAATTAGATGATTTTTTAAAATCAATGATGATTTTAAGGGATTTTGGTTAGCCTCAGGCGTGAGTTTTATGACACAAAGCTGGTGAGCTTTTCTTTCTCTTCTCTCCATCTTCTTCATTCTCATTTTCCCTTTCATTCAGGGCGGTCTTGTAAATTTTGGTGGTCCTATGTCATAACAGTAAAATATGCATTTTAAAATTAAAATATTATTTAATGTGGGCATTGGACTTGAAAATTCTTGGGTCAAACATCCTAAATACACATATACAAAAGACTTAAAAAAATTTGAAGGCCCTTACAAAAATTGAACCATGTGCGGTTGGGCAGCCCGCACAGGCCCAAAACCGACCCTGCTTCCATTCTTTCTCTCCAAGTGTCATAGCTCAAAGGTAAGTGTTTGGAGCATTCATGCTTCCTTAAACTTTAAAATGTGTCCCTTAGCCTTCTAGCAACATCCTTTATGATTAGAAACCCAGACTTTTCTTGTTTGACTAGAGAAAGTGGGTGAAGATTGCTAAAGTTCAAGAAGAAAGAAAGAAAGTGAGTGTGGTTGAGAAAGTAGCTTTATTTTGGGATTTTTGATCAATATAGTGTATTTCTAATCATTTGTGGTAATATGACTCCATTAAATGTGATTTCTTATTGGGATTTGAGTGTTTACGCATGTTAGGGGTTCTTATTTAATTTATACCTTAGATGATGTTTTCGTTGTAAAGCTTGTATATTTATGGTGTTAGATGACCCTAAATAACTTTCTTAAGCTTTAAAAATGATTTTCGGCTAAACTATAGTGTTTGGGAGGGTTTTTGAGTGATTCTCGAGCCTTATTCAGGGTTTTTTGAGTTGTAGTATTAATATTGTTCTTATAGTATTGATATTGATCTTATAGTATCGATACTATTCTTTATAGCATCGATACTATTTTTTTGTAGTATCGATACTGTTTTTTGTAGTATCATTATTGTTCTTGTAGTATCGATACTATATACCATAGAGTACCTATAAAATGACATCGTTTTAGACACTAAAGTTTTTTGGTGTATCGATTTTGCCACTGAACTTTTAAACAATTTTTTTAGCACTGAACTTTTTGGTTGTTGTCGGCTACCAAGAACCACCCGTCATCATTCATATTTTACGACAAGATCAGTATCACAATGTTCATATTCCACTCCTACGATCTATTTTCCATGAAACTCACTTAGAATCGGCGAAAATCCATTTAAAAGTTCTACATAATAATATTTTGATTTTTTTCAATGATCGTCCAATGAGACTAGTTTTTAGGTATGTTCTTCTTCTTCTCGGAATAATACTTTTCATTGTTCAAATTTTTGAACAAACACCCTTGGGCCCATAAATCTAAGAAAGTCTCTAGAGATCTAAAAAAAATATAGATTTTTAGTGGGTTTCGTAAAAAACTAATCATATGAGAATAATGAGGAGTGAAATACGAACATTTTAGTACAAATTTTATCGTGAAAGATGATCGATGACGGGAAGTGATTGGCTGACGACGGCGATCGAAAAGTGCAATGCCAAAGAAACAAACTATTTAAAATTTCAATGGAAAAATCGATACACTTCTAAAGTTCAGTGTCTAAAATGACATCATTTTAGGCATTAGAAAAACCACACCAAGGTATTATTTTGATGTGGCATGTCACGTCAACAACCGTTAACCATGTCATCATCCTGCCAGTGACTTAATAGGAGAGTATCATAATTGAATGTAAAACTAAAGTTCAGTGTTACAATTGACGAAATTAAAAGTTAATGATATAAACAAGTCAATGAATAAAGTACAATGGTATCTAAAATAGTTTTCTCTTAAAACAATAAAAATAAATTCGTAAATACTAAAAAAGTCTTCCAAATGCAATTTTACTGTTTATATCAAAACTTTGTATTTTATTTTATTTTTTTCAGTGAAAAAAAAATAGATGGTCATGGATACCTTTATATATATATATATAAACACACACGAAGATAGAAACATCCTACAAAAAGCAGTTTTCTCAATGTTTTTAAATCATTTTATTAAAAACTGTAATAAAACACATGCGTCTCTGGGAATACTTTGAGAAAAATCGCATTTGACTGGGAATACTTTTAATGAGGAGTGAGCAATTAAATATATCTTTCTTTAACGTGCTTAAAAAAATCATTTCTTTAGATAATATCCACTCTAGCAAAATAGGTTTTCAGCGGTTTTTTAATCATATAACGGCATTTTTAAACACCGCTAAAAACCATTATGGCACAAAAATAAACGCCGTAAAAGTGT